AAACATTCCATCCAGTTGTCCAAACACTCGGCACAGCTGGCGGAGGGAGGGGCGGCCAGAGCCCGGCTCTCAGGGAGCCCTTGCGCTGTTGTTTTCACCGGGATGGGAGCGTCCTCACAAGGATGCCCTGAGGGGGTTCAGGGGGCTGAGGCTAAAGGAAGAGCGCACGACAGCCATACTCCTGGGCTTGCCCCAGGCCTCCCTTCCCAGGGCCCGCCCCACGGGGGAAGATCCAGGTCTGCCTGGCCAGGTGCTGCGGGCGGCCTTGTGAGCATCCTCGTGACTGACGGCGCCCAGGGCCCCGCGGCCGTGCTGTGGGGGATGGGCAGTGGGAATGCCGCTGGGACAGCAAGCCCCGGAAGTGACTTCGGGGGGCCGGGGTTACTGGCAAGCAGCCCCAGGCCTGGCTGCCTCTTGGCTCTGACTCACTGGTGACCCTGGACGAGCCTCAGTTTCTTCATCTGCAGCAGGAGGGACTTGGGCCTCTTCTGGCTCTGATTTTTCTAAGTCACAGCCAAGGACATAAGGCCCTTATAGCTCCCCATGAAGCCCCAGCTCTGCCTAAATGTCCAGAGAGCAGCAATTTTTTTCTCTACAGTCCCCAGAGCAACTCTGACTCTGTTTCCTCCCCAAGGGGCAGGCTGGTGCTTGGGGGGGGGGGTTCGCTCTCATACCCCCTGTCCTCAGCGAGGCTGAGCTCCTTCCCCTCCTGCTGTGTTGGGGTGATGGGGAGACCCTCCCCCCTTTTCATACTTCCTGTTTTCCATTAATTGTTTCCAGGTGGGCCCAGAGGTTGCCCACAGAGGAAGGTGGGGGCACAGGAGAATTGAGCAGGGTATCAGTGAGGAGCAAAAACAGGAAGGGGGTGGGAGCAGGCCATGGAAAATTCACTGCCAGGAAAGGCAAGGCCAGCATCTGGTTTGCATTAGGCTGAGAGCTTCGAAGCCCAAAGCCTGAGTGGGAGATATTGTTATCCGCAGGGCAGGGCTGGTGGGGTGTGACTGCTAGTCAGGAACTGGAAGCTTCTCCCCCCGCCCGGGCAGTCAGAGGCTGCCAGGAAAGAAGAGGGAAGACGAGGGAGAAAGGCGGAGGACATTCTCATTTCGAGTGTGGGCAGACCCTTCACAGATGTCGCCTACTGTGATGTTCACAACTGCACTGGGGACAACTGTTCCCATTTTACAGATGAGGGAAATGAGTCCCAGAGAGGTGAAGTGACTTGCCCGAGGTCACACAGCCAGGGACCAGCAGAACTAGGATTAGACTTCAAGCCAAATGAGATAGGGTGGAACCTTCAAACCATTCCAATGGGCTGAGGCTGACCATGTCCCAGACAAGGGGGTACTGAGGATTTGGGGGTGAGCACGGGCCAGCCTCTGCCCATGGGGTCACTCGGTTCTTGTGGGGGTGTCCGACGGTTTTACTTGTCATGACACAAGGTGGACACGTGCCTGAGGGCTTCACCCTCAGGAAAGCAATCCATGGGGGAAGGCTTCCTGGTGTGTGGGGGGGGAAGCAAAAGAGAAATTATCAGCAGGAGGTAGGATGTGCTGCCGAGGGCACTGTGTGAGGAAAGGGGTGGTGTAGGGCATGTCTGGGCAGTAGCAGCTGGCCTGGTGTGCCTTAGAGAGTGAGATTCTGTATGATGGTCAGGGAAACTGAGGCACAGAGAGACTAACATGCCCAAAGGCTCATAGTCTGGAATGGGGTTGAATCCAGCCTCTCGGACACTGGGCCTGGGTTCTTAACTGCTGCACTGAGTTGTGCTTTTTTGTTGGTGGTTACAAGTTTTAAAGGGGATATTGAGGCCAAGGACGGGATGCAGGGCAGGCGGGGGTCCTTGCCCAAAGCCACACAACCAACTAGTGATAGAGCCTGGGCTGGACAGGTCTTTCCAACTTGCCAACCTGGGCAGGGAGGGGTTAGGTGGCTCCTCCTTCGGGCCCTCGTGGAAGCTGGGACTTGGGCATGCAGAGGACAACTCCCACGACCCTTCAGGGAGTCTCACCTTTCCTGGCCCGGAGCCCAGGAAGCAGGGCCCCCAGTGCCTTCTGCTGCCCGCTGAGCCACAGGAGTTAATAATTACGGGGTTTCAAGAGATAGAGGCCTGCTGGGAGGGGCCTTCGTCCCAGGCCCTGCTCCTCAGAGATAGCAAAGGTTAGCGTGAGGCTCAGCCTGGGGAGGCGGGGAGGAGGGAAGGGAGAAGGCTTCTGCCACCTGCCTGCCTGGCAGTCTTCCGAGCGACCCTCAGGCTGGCCCTGGCATGGATGACCCCAAGGAGCACACCAGGTGTCCTGCCCGAGGAACATGCCCCGTGTTCCTGGCACTGAGCTCAGGGGCTGTCCGCTACGCCCCATCAGTTCTGGGCCCTGCACTCGAGGGGAACTTGGGAGAGGATCCCTGGGACACAGACAGGTGAGCCAGTGACCTCGGTCACGGTCACGGTCACGAAGGGGAGGGAGGGAAATCTTGCTATTCTGTAGGGGCACTGGGGGAGGAGGGAGGCAGAAGCCAGGCTCTTGACAGGGGACTGGCATGGAACTCTGAGGCATTTCATGAGCCTCTTACAAGGTCAGTGCCAGCGGATGACCCTGATTGTCTAACTTGGTGGTTGGACAGACATAGAATCTGAGGCTCAGAGAGGGCAAGACAAACATCCTGGGTCACGCGGTGAGCTGAGGACAGACCTAAGTCAGTCTACGGCCATACCACCCTGAACGCGCCCGATCTTGTCTGATCTCGGAAGCTAAGCAGGGTCGGGCCTGGTTAGTACTTGGATGGGAGGAGACCTAAGTCAGAATTGGGGCCTGGGTCAACCAGGCTGGCAGTTTCCTGTTCCTCATCTGCTTCCAGTCGAGGCTCTGTGGTCAAGGCTGCCAGGCGGGGATGGGGATGGTGGGGAGACGGGCGAAGGGCAGTCGTTTGAGGTCTTGACCTTTTACTTCTTCCTCTGCACCTGCTGGCCGGGCCCCTAGTACGCTCCCCTTTTTGCCTGACTGCACACAGTTGCAGCTTCTAGTGAGTTCTCTAGTTTCTGGGCTGTCTTTTCAGAAAATTGATGTAAGGGGTCACAGCCCCACCACCCCTGGCTGTGTGACATCAGGTAGGTTCCTGAACTTCTCTGAGCCCAATCCTTTTTGGCTGAGGAGCAGAGCTCACTGGACTGTGGAAGAAGCTAGTGAGGCTTGGTAATCGAAGGTCACTGGATGCATAGATGATGTAGTATTTTTAGGTAGTAATTCGGGTATCAGTGCTCCCAGAGTGGTGGTGACCCCACATTTGTCCTTGGAGGCCTCACTTAAGCCCACTGGTGCTACCCTGTCCTGCTAAGGGCTCTTCCTCTGGGGCCTTAGCCTGGGCTGACACTGCCTCCATGCCTTATCTCCCACCAGTCTGGCTTACCATGACTTGGACCAGTCGTATCTCCTGCCCAGGCTTGTGAAGTCTTGGAGGGTAAGGGCCCTGTCCTGAGCCCTTTTTGTGTCTTTTCCCCCTTCTCCTAAATAATGAACAGAGCAAGGGCCAGGAAGACAGCAGTTGCTCAAGACTTACTTGGTGTAGGATTCAAGTCAACAAACATGGTGACATCTGCTTTGGGTCAGACCCTGGACTAGGCTGGGGTAAGGCACAGAAACACTGCACCGAGGAGATGGTTTCTGCCCTTGGGAAACCACAGTCTTAGAAAGAGTTACCCTGCAGAGTGAAGGGCATTGGAGGTCTGGGCAGAATGATTCTGGTAAGTCAGAAGGGATGTCACAGTGGGCTGCCCAGGTTGTTCACTGCACAAGGTGCCAGCCAAGGGAGTGAGCAAGCAAGGCATGAAATCCAGCCTGCCCTCCACTCACCCAGTCCTGTACCTTGGCATGGGCTGTCGCCATCTAGGAAGGCAGTACCATTTTCTATTTGTGACAAAGACACCGTGCACTTAGTAGAGTGTGCCCTGGGCAGCAGCCCTGGAAGTGGAGGTCCTTGTGAGTATGTCTCCCTACCATATTGGAGCTCCGGGATGACAGAGCATGTGTCGATGCAGTTTGCCTTTGGATCTCAGCCCTTGTGTGGTCCACAGTTTGTGCTCAGAAGGGATGGATGGATGAATGAATGAATGAACGAACGAATGGATGAATGAAAGAAATGTGTGTCCCCAGTGAAGACCTGACAAATTCAAGCCTGGGGTCCCAGCTCTGTGGGCTCAGAAGAGTAGTGTCCTGAGTTCTGGTAGCATCTGGAAGGGAAGCACCTCCTTCCTCCTGGCTTCCTAGGCCTCTCTAGACCCAGAGGGTGGGAGCCAGGATCCCTGGCAGGAGAGAAGAACTATACTCTCACTGGGTCCAGCTGCAGGCTGAAGTTGAGGCCAGTAGTCAGGGCTCAGGACTGGTGACAAAGGGGCGGAAGGATGGAGGGACAGGAAGACCAGTGGTCTGGGATGCAGGAAAAGGTTTTGCAGAGGACCTAAATCCAGACAGGTGTGCAGGGTGGGGGTGCATTCCCCCAGACAGTAGATGCCGGGCAAAGGCAGGGAAGAGATGGTCAGGGAGTGTTCCGAACAAGAGGGGAAGGCCCCTTTGCGGGGTGGGGGTGGTGTGGGGCTGGGGGAGGGCTGGGGTTGAAGACTTGGGCCAAAGGGGGGTCTTCCCCTGGGATAAGCGCTCAGAGTAAACCCGAGAAAACTTGTTTTGGGGTCTAGCCCCTTTCCCACCCTGCAGGACGTTGCCCAAGGACGGGCACAGAGCAGGGAGCCCAGGGAAGGGGCGTGCTGGCCAGCGGGTGGGTGTCGGCGGGCTCCGAGAGACCGTCCGCCAAGGCTCTCGAGCAGCGGTGGCCGAGGGCCCGCGCCGCGCCGGGGGATCCGAGACGAGTCAGCCGCGGGCCGCGGAGCGCGGCGCTGACCGCAGGACGCGCCGGCCGCCGGCTCCTCCCCCGCGCCCGCCGGCGCACGGTCCCGGGGCGGGCGGGCGGCGGGGGGGCGGGGCCGGGCACGTGTCCTCGGGCCGCCCCCTCGGCCACGTGACCCGCCGGGGGCGGGGGTGGCCGGGGGGCGGCTGCGGAGGGACTGACAGGCGGCGGGCGGGGACGCGGCGCGGGTCGGCGCGGGGAGCTCGCGGCGGCGCCGGGATGTGGAGCGGGTAGGTCGGGGCGCGCTCGCCGCACCGCGCGGGCTCGGGCCGCGGCGGCCTCCGGGGCTGCGGATCCCTGCCGCGTGTGCACCCGGCCCGCGGCGGACGGGCGCCCCGTAGTCCCGGGACGCGCGAGCCACCGCGCGGCGGAGGTGGAAGGACGCCCCGCGGGGAGGGGTCGGGGGCTCTCTGTGGGTGGGGACCTTCCCGGCCTGACGGCGCCAACTCCTAGCTCGTCTGGAGCGCGAGTGAGAAGGGGGCGGGCAGGCGGGCGGGGGGGGGGGGCGGCGCTTGCAAGCCAGAGTAAGTCTGGGGTACGCACCTGGAGGAGCGCCCCCCCCCCAGCCTGGATGAACCCTTGGAGAGCAGTGCAATTGGGAAAGGGGGCTGGGTCTCTGCCAAGGTCGCTAGTAAGTTGATGAACCTCCATCTGGGGCTCCTGGATCCAGCCCAGCTCAGAGGTGTGGGGTAGGACCTCCCTGCAGTCGGAAGGAGGGCAGCAGAGCCCTGGGTCCTGGCTTAGTGGCCCCAGTCCCTATGACTGTTTATTGGCTCTCAGGGGTGATCCCAGTCCCTTGGCCGACCTGGTGTGGGTCCCCTGCCATGTTCGTGCAGGAAGGCTGTGGTTTTCTCAGGGACTTGGGCAAACACTTCCTCCTCCCCATGGCCTGGGAAGGCCAGGTCCTGGAAGAGCTGTGGCCAGAGTGGGGTGGGTTGTATTCCTGTAAAGAACTGGGCCACCTGGGGGGTCCCAGGACAGGACTCTTTCCTAGCCAGAGCTGGGGAGTGAGGGACGGCCTCTGGGGGAGCTGGCAGGCTGGAGGGGTTTCTGATGCAGTCTAGGTCCACTTGACTCCATGGCCCCTAGCAAAGCTTGGGCTGAGATGCTAGGGAATAGTGGGGCTTTGTCCCCAGCAGGGGGTGCTGAGAGAAAGGGCTCCTGGTAGGGGTGAGGTGTGGAGAGGCATGCCTCTTAAAGGGTGGAAAGGAGAAGCAGAGCACATGTTTTTTGGAAAAGTACCCTCCTCCACCCCCCACCCCCACCCCTGAAGATGACTGAGTTCAGGGAGAAAGTGTTGTGTGGGACCTGGTGGGGTTAGCACAATCCTGCGTGGGGCTAACTGTGTTTAAGGGGCATCCCAGTCTGGAAGAAGCTTGTGACCCCATATGTTGGGGGCACCCAGGCAAAACAGTCATTGAGTTACTATGTGATCTTGAGAGTATGGCCTCACTTCTCTGGGTCTCTGGGCGAAATGAGCAGGTTGTGGGGTGGAGAGCTGCAGGCTGATCCATGACCAGAGTGCCCTTCCCTGGAGGCATGCAGGCCAGAGCCAGACAGACAGGGCTGGGAGCCATCAGTAGATAGATGCTCTCACTCTTTTTTTTTTTTTTTTAAGATTTTCTTTATTTTTTGAGAGAGAGCACATGAGAGGGGGGAGAGTCAGAGGGAGAAGCAGACTCCCTGCTCATCAGGGAGCCCGATGCGGGACTCGATCCAGGGACTCCAGGATCATGACCTGAGCCGAAGGCTGTCGCTTAACCAACTGAGCCACCCAGGCGCCCGATAGATGCTCTCTTTAAGGACAGTGTCAAAAAGACTCAGGGTCCTGGAGAAGACCCCTCCCCCCACCGCCAGTCCAGCCTCCCTGCCATATTCCCAAGAGGCTTCTGGATAAACCAGGCTGCCAAGCTGACCCCCACATGATCCTCAGTATAACTCATTTCTTTCTTTCTTTCTTTTTTTTTAAAGATTTTATTTATTTATTTGAGAGAGAGAGAGAGAGAGATAGCATAAGCAGAGAGTAGAGGGAGATAGAGAAGCAGACTCCCTGCTGGGCAGGGAGCTCGATCCCGGGGCTCGATCCTATGATCCTGGAACCATGACCTGAGCTGAAGGCAGACGCTTAACCAACTGAGCCACCTAGGCGCCCTATAACTCACTTCTTGCATGTACATTTAGACCCCCAGGGCCTAGCCTAACCCCAGGGCCTAGCCAGGTACAGAGCACCTAGCAGGTGCTTTATAAATGCAGATGGAAAACATGAGGGACAGAAGGGGGAGCTGCACACCTGGGAGTGAGAGGCAGAGTTTGGGGGTTTCCTTGAGCACTGCATTTTTATGGATCCCCCCCTCCCAACTCGGGTATTAGAGGCAGGGATTGAAGGATCAAGGGCCAAGCTGCCAGAATCCACTGGGGGCCTGGTGTCCTAGGAGCTCACCCAGACCCCAGCAGGAGCCAGAAGGGACCCTGCCTGGGGTCACACTTGTCCATGTAAGTCTAACTGAGCTGCTTGGGCTTGCGGCCCCCAGGGGCTCAGGACAGTCTGGGTAGGTGTATATTTGGGCCCTTTATTCTAGAGTATGAAGACTCTGGGATCAGTGGCCCTGGCTAAGTTGTCAGTGTCTCTGGAGTTTCTTTCCTCATCTGTAGGTGAGGGATGGTTGCCGTTAATGGCTAGGCCCTGGTGCCAGTTCATCCCCTTGGCCCTGGCCCCAGGGCTGCTCCCCTGGGGTGGGTGGCAGTGACAGGACTCTGCAGGAGCTCAGGTGGGCCCTCTTCCTTGGGACTCCTTGAGCAGGAGCCCTGAACTCTGAACCCAGAGGCAGCTCCCCCAAAATTGGGATGCTCCTCTCCCCATCCCCCATAGTTTCTCATGTCCATAGTCTTGGGTGCCAAGCCTGTCCTGAGATGGGGAGATGGTGGCATCTCGAGTATCTGCAGCTGACACAGTGCTGGACACTTGGGGCTTGGTCAGCAAAGGCCAGAAATTGAGTTCTGGGTTAGTTTTCTCCCCTGGTCTCAGTTTCCCTGTCTGATAGATGGGGCTAATATTACCTATTTCTAGGGAGGGCCGGGCTCTGATGGACTGCTCAGGAATGAAATGAGATTCCCCCACCCTCCCAGGGATGGAGGACTCTGTCTTTGGAACAAGCAAGATGCTGGGGAGCCCCAGGGCTGCAGACGGGCTGTGTGATCTTGAGCAGGTCACCTAACTGCTCTGGGTTTTGATTACCCGAAGGGGCTTGGATTTGCAAGCTCCTGCCTGTTGGGCCTAAGCTACAGAGGTCTGTAGGCTCAGACTTCATCTGAAGTGTGGAAGGAAAGTGGGCCTCATGCCTGGGAAGCAGTTGTGCACCTTTCCCAGCTGCTGCTTTCTGGAAGCCTTCCTTGATCTGACTACCTAGTGGGGATATACCTCCTGCCGTTCCTTACTCTGCACATGTGTGAGGAGCTCAGACCCTCACTAGAATCCTGCTTGGTGTAGACTCTCCCCAGGTCTGCCCAAGATTTGTGCCCAATAGGGTGGTGGGGGACGGGGAGCAGAGTGAATTAGAATGCGGTCAGAAGGGAGCTCAGGGATGTTGCTGCCAAAATCTGTGCGGTCATGCAGATTGGGCAGATCGGGGCTGATGGGGTGCCTAGCACATGATAGGTGCTCACTCTGTATGTGTTGGATTTTCGAGGTGTCAGATCCTTCTAGGACTGAGCAGGCGGATGTGAGGCAGGTGCTGTGCGCCCTGCTCCGCCCCAGCACAGAGTGAACCCCCACTGTCCCAGGCCTTGTGCTGGCTCCCAGGGGAGACGCAGGGCTGGATTCCCTGGCAGGGCTGGGCTGGACTGGCGGCCCTGGGGCTATGGTGAGGAGAGGCTTGCTTGGCCCAATCCACCTGATTCAGGTGTTCCAACCTCCCTGCCTTCTGTCCTGCATCCTACGGCTGTTCCTGACCTTCTCCGCCCCCTGCTCCGTGTTCTACAAGGCACACACCTGCGTCCCGCTTGCTGGAGTGGTCCAGAGTCACCTGCTTCCAACCCCCCTCCCCCAGGGTCCTGCTCGGCTCGCATGCCTGATACTCTGTTCCCATGTATGACATATATGACACCATTGCCCCATTCTGGAACCTTCCCTTCCAACCCTGGTGATGGCTGCTCCTCAGACCTCCAGGCTGGCTCTGTGGCGCTCGACTCCTCTGTGACCCCTCCCCCAGAGCACGCTCAGCCTGCAGCGGCTCCCTCTGGCCCCGCACCTCCCTCAGCCACCTGTAGACCCATATAGGACATGCCGCTCCCCAGACGCCTCAGCGACCCATATAGGACATGCCGCTCCCCAGACGCCTCAGCGACCCATATAGGACATGCCGCTCCCCAGACGCCTCAGCGACCCTCTTTCTCTTCCCCGACAGACCCCCTCCCAGTTCCTTATTCCCGTCCTGGGCACCATTTCATTATGTTAGTTAATTACTGTAGTTTTGTTGCTTTTTTTTTTTTTTCTCTGTCACCCTCTCCAGCCCCCGGTTCCTGCCACAATTCCCCCCTCAGAGTCTTGTGGCTCTGTCCCCTCTGCACATCCCTTCCGAGGCCAGGACCTGCCTGGCTTATGCAACGGCCTTGGATGGAAGCCCCACCATCCCCACCACCACCTCTCCCCGCCACCCCCTCAGGCACTTGGCTCCAACTTCCTCAAACCCCATCTGCATCCTGCCTCACTTCTCCAAAACCACCATTCATCCCCTTGCGTCCCGTCTGGATTTCTCTGGGTGACAGGTCACATGATGTGATAGAGCTGGGACTCTGAGTTCTGTTCCCACCCTGCCGCCACTTTGCTGTGTGTTCCGGTCAGGTCGCCATCCATCTCTGAACACCAGGCGCCTCCTTGTGCCACCCAGGCTGGGGAGAGCGTCTCCCTGCAGCGGCGTCCTGAGGGTTTGGAGTTGCTACCTCAACCCTTCTCTGTCAGCTTCACCTGGCCGGGCTTGCAGGCCGGGCGGGGAGCCGATGCGGGAAACCTCTCCTGGGGCCCCTGGGGCCCCTGGACAGGAGGAGTCACTTGGCCATCAGCCTCTGTGCTCTCCCAGCTTACCAGAAGGCCTGTGGGTGCAGGGCCATGAGTCTGAACAGGGCCCCTGTGTGTGGCCCTGCCCCGCAGACCAGATCAGCTGCAGCCACCCTGTTGGCCCCGGGCAGAGGGTGAGCGCTCCCAGCGTGCCCTCCCTGCCTCTCCTTCCCCCCGTTTCAGAGCTTCCCTAACTAGTTCCTTCCGTCTTCTCTAAGGAATCCATCGTGCCCGTTAGCACCGGGATCTTTAGTTCAAAGAGGTGACCTGGGCGCTGGTCAGTGGACGGGGAGAGATCGAAGGGCAGAGAGACCTCATGGCAGGCGGGTTGGGCTGGAAATGGGAAGAGTATGCCGGATCCTGGTCGGGGCCCTTCTGGCCCAGTGGGGGCTGCTGGGTGACTGGGAACGATAGAATCCACGGGTCCTCATTCTCATTTTGCCACTTTTTGTGGATGGGGACAAAAGCCCTGCTGGCCCTCCTAGGACAGGACTGGGGGGTGAGCATTGCGGTTTCTGCTCCCCCCCCCACACCCCCCGTGTGTTTCCTGAGGAAGTAAGCCAGTGGGGCCTTTCCTGTCTAAACTGTCGTGGGCTCTAGACAGCGAAGCCAGCTTCAGGATGGGGGATGTTGGATGCTCCCACTTTCCTCTGACCTTGACTCTTACTGTCTCCTGCCTCTAACCTCTTCCCAGTGGCCCTGGGTCCTGCTACAGGCCTTCCCTGTACTCTGGACTCTGTTTCTGCAGGGAATGGGGGCTGAGAAGGTTCAGGCTGAGGGCCATGGACCTGGACTGAGGGGCAGGGAGGGGGTGTGGTGCAGAAGAACTTAAATGGTAGCCCATGCTTGTCCAAGGAGTGAGTTCCCCAGCCCCACGGGCATTCACCTCCAGGTTTTCCAGCTCCTGGTCTGGGATGCTGAAGTGTGTGAAGATAGAGGATTCTGGCTTGGGCTGGACCTATGGGGCCTGGGGTCCCTCGCATCCCTCCTTCCTCTGAAATTTCCGAGTTGCCTCACAGCCCTGAAGTGTGAGGGGAGGGCCTGCAGATTCAAGCTTCTCTCCCAGGACAGAACCCCTTTCCTCAACCCTTCTTTCCTGAACCCCTGGCCCAGGTGTTGGGCAGTTGGTAACTACTAGGCGGCCCTGCTCTTCCCACGCTTTCTGCCACAGGGTTTCGAGTTGGGCTTTTACACTGGGGAGGGGGGACATGGAGGGCCACCGTTTCCTCTGGCTGCAGAATTGGGTCCCATCCTTCCCAGCAGTGGGCTAAAGTGAGAATCTGTTGGGAAAATGATGGGGGACGGTCCAGCTGTAACCCCAGCCCATGCCCTTGGGACCAACAGGAGAATTAGTGACCACACTGGTGGCCCTCGTGGGAGGGGCTGGAGGTCTTTTTCTCCTCGGCAGGGGCGTGGGTGATGTCTGGGGTGGTCCTTACAGAGGAAAAGACCCCCAGCGCCGGGTGTCTAAAACCTGGGATCCTGCCCTGTGTCCCATGCCGTCCCTGCTGGTCACCCCCCTCGTTGGCCCACAGTTCTTGCTCATCCTCTTGAGGCGTGCAGCCCCTGAGTTGGGGTCTGTTGCCCCTGTCAAGCCTGAGTGACAAGGACCATCCTCTCTCACCTGAGGAAATGGCCCTGGGCCCCAAGCCTCCAGACTGTCAGCCAGAAGACCTCCCTGAGGCCTGTGGTTTTGGCTGTGGGACCCAGAGCCTGGGCAGGCAGTGGGGGTGTTTGCCAACGTGGCCGCAGACGGCACGGTCTTTACCTGGTGTTGTGTCCCGTGACTTCTTCACCTGGTTCTTAGTACGCCTCCTCCAGGTTTTTACCCCCATCCCAAAGGTGGGAAGCAGCTTCAGAGAATTGTAGTGATATTCCCAGGGGCTGGTGCGTACCCCAGCTCGGAGCCTGGTGTGGACCCTGGCCTGGCCTGACTCTGGCCTCTGCTCTCAGCCACAGCTCCCCCAGCCCTGGCCTGCCCTCCTGGGAGGCAGTTTCTGGGCCCGAGCAGAAGCTGAGAAGAGAGTCAGGCCAGAATGGGGTCCGATTTCCCTGCTGCAGCCAAGGAGGAGTCTCCCGAGTTGGCCTGGGCCTCACAGCCTTCGATCCTGAAGCAGATGCACTGATTTCCACACTCACACCCCCACTTACCGGCTGGAAGGGGGGCACTTCGGGCCTGGACCCAAGCCCTGGCTGCCCGTCCAGCACCGCCACCGAGCGAGCAGCCATGTGGGCCTGGGCAAGTTCTGCCCTCCTCTGAGACCCCCGTCCCTCATCTGTAGGATGGGGACAGTCCCACGAATGCTGTTGAGAGCTCTAAATGAGAGGACATGCACAGAGCAGCCAGGTGGCACCTGGCCAGTGTGAGGCCCCTGGGTGCAGATCCCAGCCCAGGGCCACCATGGCACTGCCACAGCCCCTGCTCACGCCTCAGGGACCCCTTGCCAACGACCCTCCCCCCCTCCCCCACAGAGGTATTAGGAAGGATCCCTGTCTGGCATAATCACTGCTGATGGAGTGATAGATGTGTTTTCCCACTTCGTCTATCAGAGCCCTGGTCCCTGCCAGGCGGGACCCAGCCAAGGACCCATGAGGCCACACTATGGGCCGATTCCAAAGCAGAGGGCAGGCTGGGCTGGGCGCAGGGACAGGGCCATGTGAAGGGTTGGGAATGGGCTCATTGCTGGGCTTCCCCGGGCACCCAGTCCCTTTGTGTTACCTCGGGAGGGACCGAAGCTCAGAGGCTGCTTGGTGACCGTCTCAGGGTCCAGATGACAGGGAGGAGGGACTGATCCCCAGTCTTGCCTTTCACACGTTCCCCTCAGTAAGCCTGAGGCCCACGACCCCTTGGCCTTGTCTTTCCTCCGTCCTGCCTCTCCTCCACTTCCCCGCCCTTATCAGCCGCCAGGCCCAGCCTGTCACTCTCAGCCCAGCCACCGTGGCTCCGAAGCTGCTGGCTCAGGAGCCACCAGCTTTTGCTGAGTGAGCGAGTCCAGAGGTGCTGTCTTGGCACAAACCACTGCTGGCTGCCGAGCCTTCTCCCTTCCTGCCTCCCTCCCTCCGCAGGGTCTCTTGCAAAGTGGGGGGTGTGGATGGACAGTGCTGGCGGGACGAGGAGGGGACGGAGGCTGATGGCCGCAGCACTACCTCTAGGGTCTTCAACTTCAGGGAGAGAAGGGTCCTGAGGCCCAGAGAGCGGTGTTTGCCTGAGGTCACAGGGCAGACCAGCGGAGAGCCGAGCCGGGACTGCTCCCCACAAGGCTCAGGGAGCAGGAAGACGGTCTGCCCTGCCTGGGTTGTTTGGCAGAATCTTCCTGCCTCAGCTCTGTGGGGCCCTGGCTGGGTCCTCCCTCTCCCGCCCACACTAAGTGGGTTTTAATTTGCATAACATTTGCATTAACAGTAGCCTAGAAGGCAGTTCCCATTTAAGTTCCTCCTGTATGCAAAGGTTTTTGCTGGGTTTTTTTTTTTTTTTAAGACCTTATTTATTTGAGAGAGAGAGGGCCCAAGAGCACAAGTGGGGGAAAGGACAGAGGGAGAGAAACAGACACCCCACCAAGCAGGGAGCCCCATGCGGGGCTTGATCCCAGAACCCTGGGATCATGATCTGAGTCGAAGGCAGATGCTCAACCATCTGAGCCACCCAGGTGCCCCCTGTGGGCCAAGGTTTTATGCACGTCAGATGCATTCGGTGACCCTAGAGGTAGGACCAAGGGGATGTCCCCGCTTTGTAGAAATGGAGACTCAGATTCTCAGCACTGACACGTTTACAGTCACCTGCTGGACAAACCCGAACTGAGCACCTACTGTGTGCCAAGCCCAGCCCTAGGCCCTGGGCTGGAGAGGGTGGTTGACAAAGATGAATGCGTCCTGTCCTGGCCCCTAGGAGACCACGTGTTTGGTCCCTCTGCCCTTGGGACAACCCAGTGATAGCCTCACAGGTAGTGTCCCTGTCTTGCAGACGGGGCCCAGACCAGGCCCAGAGTGGCAGGCATGTGGCCCAGGGTGGGTCCCTCAGCTCAGATCTGGGTCTCGGGACCCCACCCTGGATTTGCTGTTTGCCCGCAGCCAGCCCCACCCAGACGAGGGCCACCCGCCGCCCCTCGAAGCTGTCCCGGTCCCCTGGAAGAGCGTGGGCCCCTGCAAAAGCCACAGGGAGTCCCCAAGAGGCCTGGCGGAGACCTCTGGAGGGGAGGAGGGCCCTGCAGCCGCCCAGCTGGACGTGTTGCGCCTGCGAAGCTCTTCCATGGAGATCCGGGAGAAGGGCTCAGAGTTCCTGAAGGAGGAGCTGCACAAAGCCCAGAAGGTGGGGCTTGGAGGGCGGCGGGGAGGGGGGGGTTGGGGGGGGAACGGCAGGGACAAGGGGCCCACCTGGAGGTGCTGTGGGCTCTCCCAGAGCACCCCGCATGGAGGCCGGGGCTGGGCGCGAGGGAAGCGCAGAGGAGAAACAAGTTCTTGTGACTTTGGAAGGATTTTTTGAAGTCTTGACTTCTCTGAATGCCCGTTCTGAGCTCTAATAGGCTGACGGTTGGTGTTTCGACATCATGCTACATGCTAAGTGGGAAACGCATCCTAAACCGTAGGGCGACAGAGGAAGGGAGGTGGGGGCTCAGAGGCCCCCCGCAGTGGAGCCCCGTCAGTGGGCCCAATGCCCCCCCACCCACCCCCCTGCCAGGCCTGGGTCCCCGTGGGGCTGACAGCCCCCCCCCCCCCCCGTGGAACCCCCCAGGAGCTGAAGCTGAAGGACGAAGAGTGTGAGCGGCTGTCCAAGGTGCGGGAGCAGCTAGAACGGGAGCTAGAGGAGCTGACGGCCAGCCTGTTCGAGGTACCAGGGCCGGCCAGCTGGGGGACCTGCTGGGCAGTGGGGCCGCTGGGGCCGCGCTGGCTCCTCACCGCTCATGCAGAGCCTGCCTTCTCCCCAGGAAGCCCACAAGATGGTGCGGGAAGCCAACATGAAGCAGGCAGCGTCGGAAAAGCAGCTGAAGGAGGCGCGGGGCAAGGTGAGGCCTGGCCAGCTCCCAGACAGGTGCATCTAACAGAGCCTGGGCGTACAGTGTGACGCCAGGCAGGCCATGGGTCCGCTCTGAGCCTCAGTTTCCCCATCTGTAAAATGGGTGCCTCAGTCCCCACCTCAAAGGCTGTTCCAGGGGTAGCAGGGGGGTTAGGTACCGGTCACCATCAGGACAGGCTGTCCTGAGCTGGGGTGGCTGGTGGTTGACGGCCACCTCATCCCGGCCAGATCGACATGCTGCAGGCAGAGGTGAGCGCCTTGAAGACACTGGTCCTCACATCCACACCAGCCTCCCCCAACCGTGAGCTCCACCCACAGCTGCTGAGCCCCACCAAGGCCGGACCCCGCAAGGGCCACTTGCGTCATAAGAGCACTGGCAGCACCCTCTGCCCCGCTGTGTGCCCCGCGGCTGGACATACCCTCACCCTGGACAAGGAGGGCAAAGAGGTGAGGGGTGGTGGGTGGGCAGTGGACACGGGAAAGGGAGACGGTGTCCAGCATCAGCCAGGCAGTGGGGCCCAGTGGGGAGGCCTGACGCCTCACACTGTGACCTGGAGCCTGGCCTGCCATCCCCGGGCCTCTGTGTCCTCTGGGAAGGCTGGGCAGCCTTTTTGTGATAATGAGGTTTGGCCCTCAGCCTCTGTGTGTACCCTGTGTACATCTCATGGGTCCCGTGAGGGCCTGGTCACCTCTCCATGCCCCTCCAAGCAGTAGGTGGTATTCTGGGCACCTGAGGCCGGCCTGGGGCCTGAGGGCCTGGCCTGGGTGGGGGGGGATGGGGGAGTTCTTCGGGAAAACACCTTCCCTGGGCCTAGGAGGCTACTGCTGGGCCTCTGGGGACAGGCTGCTTGGGCCCTGCATGCCCGCAGCCCTGAGGTCCAGGACCAGCTCGTGACATCCCTGGATTCGAGGGTCCTCAGCGCCTTCTGCCTTGGTACGTAGACAGGCAGAGCCTTTGGGGGCTGTCTCCCTCCCTCCTCACCTTGGGTACATAGGGTATTTGGTCCAGGCTGGGCAGTGGGCTGTGATGTCCTTGACCATGGGTCCTTGGGCAAGTGAAGGCACCTGCCAGAGCCTCAGCTTCCTCACATAAGGGCTCCCCAATGCCCATGGTGACTGATAAGACCTGGGTGTCAGGAGCTCAGCTCAGGGCCGCACTCAGTGAGCCCTACAAGGGCTACATGGGACTCGGGGTCCTGTGGTCTCTGAGCCCCCAGCTCCATCCTGCCCTGTGTCTCTGGGGCTTCCAAGGAAGGGACGCAGGCCAGGCCTCGCCCCCTACTTCCGAGTTCTCAGCTTCTGACTGAACACTAACATCTCCTTCCTCCTGTCTGTCTCTGTGCACCTGTCATCTGTCTGTCTGCCCCGCCGCCCCCCCCCCCCAGCCTGGGCTGCCCCCCCTCCTCTCCCTGCTCCTCTGCGTGGTCCCCAGCAAAGCTGTTCACCTCACCTACGAGCCGGCCTGGCAGCTCCTGTCTGGGGAGCCGCTCACGGCCCCCACCTCTGCTACCTCTTTCTCCTTTTCCCGACAGGTAATGGCTGGGGAGAGGGGCCGTCCCTCTGCCCCCGCCCAGCCTCACTCACACTGCATGCGCCCCAGGGCAGCCAGCCAGTCGTCTCTCCCGAGTAGGCGGCCCCGTGTGTGTTCCCTCTGTGTGCATGTGTCTGTGTGTGCGGGGGGCGGGTGGGGGGACCTGCAGGGCCCATCTTCAGCTTTTCCTCCTCCAGGAGGCAGAGAGGGGCTTCAGAACGAGGCCCTGGACCCAAGTCTGCAACCTTGTAGAGCTGGGAAGCTAAAAGCACACCTGGCTATGAAAGTTTGAGTTCTGAGGCCCTTGGTACAAAGGGAAGGAGGCGGTTCTTCCTTGGAGCTCTGTCCCCTGCTGGGCCACTGGGGACAGACCCGCTGGCAGGCTGGGGCCTGCCCCGCAACCTCCCTGGCTCCCCACCATCTTCAGCTGCCCCACCCCCGCCCCCTGTGCCTTAACCACTCTCTCCGGCTCACCCTCCCTTGCAGGTGGACACAACCCTGTTCGCAGAATTCCAGGCCTGGCGGGAATCGCCCACCCTGGACAAGACCTGCCCCTTCCTCGAAAGGGTGTACCGGGAGGACGTGGGCCCCTGTCTGGACTTCACCATGCGGGAGGTGAGGCGGGGCAGAGGGCGGCTGGCCCCGGGGCATGCCCCTCAGCCGGAGGCCAGCCCCTCACTGCCCCGGCCTGCCGCCCTGCTTTGTCGCAGCTCTCAGCGCTGGTCCGGGCCGCGGTGGAGGACAACACGCTCACCATCGAGCCCGTGGCTTCGCAGTCGCTGCCCACCGTGAAGGTGGCCACAGTTGAGTTTGGCAGCACCAAGTAAGCCTAGCGCCCTTCATCCTTTGCTGCCCGCTTGGGAAAGCCACACCTAGCCCCACGCTCTGCCGAGGCAGTAGCCAGGGACCCGGGACCCAAGCGGGAGGCAGGAGTGGGGCACACAGGCCTGGCTGGGGGAGGGGTGCAGAGGCGCGGTGGCTGACATCAGGCAGGGCAAGGAGGCACCTTTGGCACAAATCCCGGCCTCTAGTCACAGATCCCCAGGCCCTACCGGGAGTCTGGGAGCCAGAGTCTCCCTCTTCCCGGCTGGTCTGCCGGCATCCCTCTCCCACCCCCATCCTCTCTCCCACAATGGGTTCTGGGCCCCGACTGACATGTAAGTGATGTCAGCTGTGGGCTCTCCTTGTGCTAATAAATAACCAAACAGCCCTGGTATCTTGTCCCTCCTGCGACTCAGCTGCCATCAAGCAGGGCTCGCAGTAGAACCAGACAGCCGGGGTGGAACAAGGGGCAGAGGTGGGGAGCACTTTCCCTCGGCAGCCCAGGATTTGACCTGCCAGGGAAGCCCCAGGGGGGAGCCTTGGCACAGAGGGGCACATTTGAGCCAGGTTTTGAAGGATGAATAGCAGTTTGCCAAGTAGGGAAGGGCCTTTCAGGCAGAGGGAACAAAATGAGTGAAGGTATGAGAAACCGGGGTATTAATGGAAACATCACTGGGTTTGTGGGCAGAGCAGTGGGGTGGGTAGGGAGATAGGGCTGAGGCCACAGAGGATGTTTGGGGCCAGAGTGTAAAAGGTCTTGAATGAGGTTTGGGCTTTGACTCACTAGGCCAAATCATCAATAGATGTTTCCTAAAAAGAGAGTTGCCAAGTCCAGTCAGAGTCACAGTGAACCTGGAGGCAGCAAAGGCACTGATAAGTCCTGCAACCCAGGAGCCTACTTAACCTTTCTCTGCTCCGGAGTCTCCATAATGGTTTCCTGGGCAGTAGGAAAGCAGCAGGGAACAATGATGGGCTAGATGTGGGCTTTTGGAGGAGCCCCTGGCTATAATGTGGAGAAGGGGAGAGACGAGGCAAAGGGCTGGTTGGAGGAGCTAAGGGGATTCAAGCAAGAGGCCCTGCTGGCATGACCTAGCCTGAGGACTCGGTGACCAAGTGGAGGAGAGAATGGACTCCTGTTTAGTTGGGGAAGGCGTGACTGAGCCTGAGAGTCCCCGTAAAGTAGGGGGTACGTTTTTAGGGGCTGCAGAGAGGGGAGCTTTGATAAGATACCTGGCATGAGGTGCACTGGGCTCTCCTGCCCACTAGGGGCAAGGTGAGGGGTTTAGGGGTGAGATCCAGCTTAGGTCAAAGGTCTGTCCCAGGGACTAGGATCTCTCCTTGGCCTGGCCCCCGGCTCCTGGGGAAGGTGGGGTCGAGGGAGAGGATGCCAGGCCCCAGCCCCAGGTCCGCTTGCTTCTCCCTCCCTTGGTGCATCCTTCTGCCTGCTGCATCCTCCCTGCATGAGCTGGGTGGGTGAGCCCCCGCCAGCCCCCACGACCCCCTCTGCTTTCCTCTAGTACCTGTGCGCTGAGCGGGCTGGCTCGTGCCTGTCGCCACCGAATCCGGCTTGGGGACTCTGAGAGCCATTACTACATCTCGCCGTCCTCCCGGGCCAGGGTGAGTCATCCAGTGGGAGGGTCACTGGGCTTCTTAGGGGCCCCCTGGGCTGGGACCCTAGGCCAGCCTAGGAGCTCAACCTTGATCTGCAGAACAGGGCACAGACTCAGGGAGGTACGGAGACCGACTCAGGCCACACAGCCAAGCCTGGTGAATTAGTTTGTCATTACTGCAGAACCAATTACCATAAACTTAGTGGCTTAAAACAACCCCCATTTATTATCATGCTCTCCCTGGGGCAGGAGTGAGCACAGCTTAGCTGGATCTTCTGCTCAGGGGCTCAGGAGCTGCAGTCAAGGGGTAGGCTGGCTGCCTGCTTTCTGGAGATAGTGGTCCTCTTCCGAGCTCACATGGCTGTTGGCAGGACTCAGTCCCTCGGGGCAGCGGGGGATGGCGGGGGATGGCGGGGGCGTGAAGGACTGAGGTACCTGTTTGCTTGCTGAAACCTAATCATGGGAGTGACATTAGAATTCAGGTTAAAATTCCCGGCTCCTGCCTCCCAGCTCAGGCTCTGGCCCCAGACTTTTGAGAAGGTTCTGAGGCCTGACAGTAGTGGTGGATTCAACGAGGCCTCCGGGAATCCCAGCTTCCCTCCTCACCTGCCAAGTGGCCCAGGCTGGGTCAGTGGTCCCCAAGCTGGGGGATAAGGGCGGGTGGTCCCCGTTCCTCTGTCTCCTCACAGACTGTGAATAGGATTATAAGGAACCAAAGAGAATGCGTTAGAAGATTCTGAAGCTTGGTGCACAGGTAGCACAGAGTGGATGGGCCCTTTTGTAGGAACCATTTCCTGCCCTTGACCTACTAGAGGCTGCTCATAGGGATTAAGGTGGACAGATGGCCCCGCTGCTAGGCAGCTTGTCTGGTCCCGACAAGCTTCCGCAGGGTGTCCAGTGTATTGTCCCGAAACACCCCACAGCAGCGAGCTGAGCTCCATTTGCAGATGGGGAGTCTGTGCCTTAGAAAGGGGGGGTGTGACCTGGCCCTGGGGCCTCCCCATTCTGAGCCCAGTCCGCCTTCCCTGCAGCCTCCGCCCCGCGCCTCTGTGCCCAGAGCCCTCTCCAGGGGCCTTTTTCTGATCCCCACCAGGGCTCAACAGAAGGAGCCTCACCAGACATTCTGTGCCCGACAGAACTGTATCTGTAGATATAAAAACTAAAAAAACACTGTAGAACTCTGTTTCTTCCAAAGGCCTGCATGTCTCTGCGTCGGGCAGAGCTGGGATGGGAGACAAGAACCGTGTGAAGTTTTAGGAGGTGGTCCCCACCCTGAAGAGACCAAGGAATGTGGCATCCATAGGGAGAAGAGGTTTCTGTCCCCACAGCACAGCCCTGGGGAGAGAACCCCACTGCTCCCTGCCTCTCCTTGCTCGCCAGCCTCCCGTGGGGGCCCACTGGCCACCTCACCACAGCCCCTCCTGAGCCACACCGGCTTAGTCCCCTCTGGGGCACCCCTCTCTCACGCTTGCCTGGGCCACCAACCCCCTGCACCCACTTTGTCCTCCTGGCTGGCAAGGATTCCTATGTGTTTGAGGGCCCCCCCCGGAACTCTGGACCCCGTGGGCCCCCACACACTTGGCGTCCCTCCCCCCGGGGCGCTGGACATTGAGTGGGTGCTTTTGGGGCACAGCTGCTGGCCACCTTCTGCCCTGTCTCTGGCTGGGCTCCCTAAAAGCCGAGCCTAAGATGAGGATTTTATGCCATTCTTAGGAGGACTGAGGAAAGCAGAATGGCGGGGTGTGGCTTCGGCTGGAGTCTGGCTGCAACCTGATCCACGGGGGCTCTGGAGCCCAGGGTGGGTTCCACCCGGAGGCAAGGGGGCTGGCCTTTTATACACCGCATGCCAGCCAGCCCCCAGCCATACCCCCCTGGCTGTGGTATGCAGGGCTAGGGGGGACAGAGGGGCACCCATGAGCCCTTGGTGGCCAACACTCTCAGCCATGGGGACAGGGGCCCCAGCCTGGGGAAGGGGCCTGGGCAGGGTACCAGCAGCACCCTCTCTGCAGAGGAGAGTAGAAGGGCCCACGTCTGAGCCAACTTGGGGTCCGCGGTGCCCAGCATAGGGCATATGGAGCAGGCCTCAGGCCAGGCTGGGGGCTTCAGGCCTGGGGATCCAGGGCAGCCCCAGTGAGCAGCTTCTGATCCCCCTGCCTATCCTGGCATTACCAGGAGCACTGGGCCAAGGCCTGGTTGGCCAGGGCCTCCAGCACGCAGAGCAGGCAGGCCCCTCAGGATGAGTGTGGATTCAAGGGCAGGCCGCCTGGTTTCACCTTCCAGTTCAGCCACTTACTGTCTCTGTGGACTCTGTAATTGTTGTCTGGTGGCTTTGTTCTTGGAGTCTGTTTTCCCCATGTGTAAAATGGGAATAATAAGCATGTCTGCTTCACTGGATGCATGTGCTGGATTAAATGTTAGCTGCTGCTGTTGTTTTTATTGGGAGTAGTACTAATACCACCGTTGGTAATTAAATTTTATTTATATATATATTTTAAAGATTTTATTAGAGAGTGAGGGGGAGGGGGGCAGGAGTAGGGGGAAGGGGCAGAGGCAGAGGAAGAAGCAGACTCTCCCATTGAGCGGGGAGCTCGACTCGGGGCTCGATCTCAGGACCCTGGGACCATGACCTGAGCCGAAGGCAGATGCTTAATGGACTGAGCCACCCAGGTGCCCAGGTAATTAAAGTTTAGAGCCCAGCCCTGTTCAATTGAGGGAGCATTACCTGGCTCTGATGGGACATGGGGTTTCCCACTCTGGTCTCTGATCTGCCCTGGCTTTTGGGAAGACCCCAAGTGTGAGGGCTGGCTGGTCACAGCCTCCCCGCTTCTGTCCCCAGATCACCGCAGTGTGCAACTTCTTCACTTACATCCGCTACATCCAGCAAGGCCTGGTGCGTCAGGAAGGTGAGCGCCCCCTGGTGGCCGGCGGGGCTGGCCTGTGGGAGGGAGCGGGCGGGCCAGCCGCGGTGGGGTCAACCTATGCGCGTTGTTGCCTGGACAGAGGGGAAGACTCTGCCAGGCTCTGCCAGGTTCCGCTGCCTTCTCCCCGCCAGAAACTTCTCCCAGGCCCCGGGGCTTGTGGGGACTGCTCCCTGTTACTGGCCTGGCATTGGAAGCCCTGCACGATGGGGTGTCCCTTGTGGATCTCCTCCCCACTGGGAGTGGCCTCCTCATGGTCATTTGACACCAGCTGCCGCCTCCCACTTTACCCTTGCCCACCCAGCAGGTCCTCCATCTACCTGTTGTCCCCTCTACCCCTGTTCTGCAAGGCCTAGCATCCCGCTCCTCCACCAAGCTTGTCAGTTTGAAGTCTGAGCCTCTCCTCCCCAGCTTGGGCATCAAGCTTTGGCCTTGGAGGGGAACTCGGACTGACCCCGTGGCTCTGCTGATGGCTCAGGGTCTCTAAGACCCCAGGGAGATGGGGTTGGGAAGCATTTGTGGCCTGCCAAATGTGTGGCAGTGTGCTCATGCATGTCGGTGCTGGGCTGGGGGGCGATGCATGGTGGTGCAGAGTTTGTTCAGCACTCAACAGTTTGCAGGGCCTCAGTGTGGAGCCTCAAAGAGGTCGGGCCACTCACTGAGATCATCTGTGCTGGGGGGCTGGGGGAGCCCTAGGTGCCTACCAGCTGCCCTGCCCAAAGCCAGGGGAGAGGGACCCGGCCATCTGCCTGAGGTGACCCTGTCCCTGAGCTGTCCACCTTCGTTCCACCTGCAGCGGAGCCGATGTTTTGGGAGATCACGAGGCTGCGGAAGGAGATGTCGCTGGCCAAGCTCGGCTTCTTCCCCCAGGAGGCCTAGGGCATGGCCCAGGCCTAGAGGGGGGCTCTCAGCAGCAGCTGACCCCTGCCCCAGCACAGACAGACAGGAAGACAGAGTCCTGGATCCGGCCCTGAGCCAGAAGCTGAGCAGATGGACAGATGGCCAGGCTGCGGACGCCTTGCTGAGCTGGTACCAAACCTTTGTCCTGGGACAGACAGGACCTCATGAGCCGACGCGTCTCCCTTCATCAGTGGCACACAGCCGCCAGGAGACTTCCAAGGAAGCACCAAAGACCGAGGAGCTTGGACCCACACTAAGGGGCTCAGCCCTTAGGAGGGGGTACCCGGGGCAGCACCCCCTTTGCGGGCCTGGGACCTGCTGCTTGCAGGTGCCTTGTTGCTGCCATGTCCTCAGAAAGGGGCCACGCTGGGTGGCCTGATCTCCAGGGTATCCCCCACCTCTGGTCCCAAGCCCTGGGCCACCAGCGCCCCCTGGTGGCCATCCCTCACCCATTCCCAGGTGGCCTCCCTGTCGGACTGCCCCCAGCGGGCCCCCTGTGTCCGGTGTCCGCGGGGCGGTGGGGCCACAAGGGGCTGTCAGGGACTTCCACACCAACCTGGATCTGCTTGAGAACTGCCCCCAAACTGTTCTTAAGGTGGATCAGGGCCCCTCCTCCTTGCCCTTGACCTTCCCCCTCCCCCGTCTGAGCCCTGTGCTCAGGGAGGCCTTGCCCCCACCACCGTTGGAAGGATTAGGATACTTTTCTCCCGAAGTAAAACACAGACAGGGCCTCAGGACACCAGTGTCTGTGTTCAGCTGTGGGTGGCCATTCAGACAATGGGGGCTGAGGCCGCCAAGCCCTGCACACAGGACTGGGGTAGGGTGGGGAGGACCCAGGCCCCTCCTCACTCCTCACAGCCCACTTGGGACTGGGGTCCAACCTGGACACATCCCTCACCACAGCTGATTTCCTCCTTTGGATGGAATGTAACACGATCTCTATTTAATAAAGGAAGGCTTTGTTGGTAGAGGCTGGGCGCCACGCGCCTTCACTCCTGTGCCCTGGGGTTCGGGCCAAGGCTTGGGCATCTAAAGGAATGAAACCAAATCCTTCCGTAGCCCGCCCTCGTGCTTGGGATTAGGCCCAAATCCTGAAGGGACTGCTGTGGGGAGTACCACTCGAGGCCTCTCCAGAGGTCCATGGGGCTGTGGGTTTTCAGGGCCGAGCCTGGCTTTCTGCCGAGGGGCCTGCTGTGGGGAGAGCAGCGGTGCTGAGGCTGCCCCTCGCACTGTCTCGTGGGGTAGATCACCCTCTGGTCTCCCTGTGTCTGTCTAACGGGAGCTTAGAGGTCGCGAGGCTGCCTGGCGAGAGCTGGACAGTGACGGGATCGATTGGTGATGTCTGCCAGCGGCGCAGACATCTTAGCAAGGTGTGGACCTGGGGAGCTATCTTGTGATTCCAGATCCCCTGCCCACCTGTAGGGGTGTGGGTCCAGGCCCGTGGGGGTCCCGGGGAGGGGGGAGCATAGCAGCTTCTGGTCAGTGTGTACTGGGGCTGGTGAGGGGGTCCCTACTGGCCTGAGGCCTGAGGCCGGCTGTGGGCTGGCCAGGACTCTGTCAAGGCCACGCAACCCTATCACCCTCACCAGCCAGGAGCCTTTTCGCTCTTGGTCTCCTGCCTTGCAGATTCCCCCTTCCTTCCCCCACTTCCTCACGGGGTGATCCCAACATCCTCTCCTGCATACCCGCCTCTTTCTGCCCTCCTCTTGGTCAGTCCTGGGTCAGCTGGGGGAGAAAGAGAATGAAGGTCTGGGCTCTGAAGCTTCTGTGCCCCTGGATGAGCCACCCAGGCCGAGGAAACACCAGGCCACATTTCAGAGCCCTGGCAGAGGGTCCCACAGCCGACTCGCTTGGCCTGCCCCCAGGACAGGATTTCCTGTCAGGCCAAGGCAGGGCTGTGGTGGGCAAACAACAGCGGGTGGGGTGCTTGTGGGGGACCCAGGGACACACAATCTGGCTCAGGACCTCCCAACAGTAGCTAATATCTGAGCACTAACATCAGCCCCAGGGCTGGCTCCACGCCCTTTAAGCAAACCAGTGCACTTAACCCTCAGAGAACTCCCGTGAGGTACTACTATTTCCCCATTTTGCAGATGAATCCCCTGAGGCACCGAGAGGTCACACAGTCAAGGGTGCCCCCAGGACAGGAATGCCTGAGCCCAGCTCTGGAGCCAGCACCCAGGACTCCTTGCACTAGACAGCTGCCTTGTGCCTGACGCTGGATGAGGCCTTTCCCTGTTTCTCAGAGACGTAGAAACTGAGTCTCAGGCAGAGGCGGAGCTGGATTTTCATTAGGCTTGTTTCCCACATTTTTACGGGGTTACAGCTGCTCCCCCACCCCCACTCTTCAGGCTTCTGGGGGTGACTGGGGGCCCTCCGGAGGGAGAGGCTCAGGGCTTCGGCTCTTGGAGTTGGGAGAGGTTTAACTGACATCGGCCGGACAGGAGTTTTTCCTCTTAAGTGAATTTCTAGATAACTCTGTAAGTGCTCCCGGCATCTGTGGTCACCTCTTAAAAGCTAGCTCCAAGCGGCGCCTGGGTGGCTCAGTTGGTTAAGCGACTGCCTTCGGCTCAGGTCATGATCCTGGAGTCCCTGGATCGAGTCCCGCATCGGGCCCCCTGCTCAGCAGGGAGTCTGCTTCTCCCCCTGACCCTCCCCCCTCTCATGTGCTCTCTCATTCTCTCTCTCTCAAATAAATAAATAAAATCTTTAAAAAAAAAAAAAAAAAAAGCTAGCTCCAACCGTGGCCATCGAGCCTGAGCCCACGCGCGCACCTTTCACGTTGCTCTGCTGTGTCACGTTTTACCATCCACCAAGCCCACCCGGATTGGATGCTGCCGGGACTGTGTACCTGGGCCACGGGGCTCCTGTCTGGGCCTCAGTTTGCTCCTCCATGAGTTGGGAAGATTGGACCACGTGACCTTTGCAGCCCCTCCCCCACCCCTTTTTCATTTATTTCATTGGGGTAAAAAGCGGTTTACCATCTTAACTTCCTGCCATCGTCTGTACGTGCCACACTTTCTTTACCCATCCATCCCTTGTTGGACATGTGGGTTGCTCCCACCTACTAGCTAATGTGAATGATGCTGATGTGGATGCGCGAGAGCAGTGATTTCTTCGAGGCCTTGCTTTCAGTTCCTTTGGATATTTACCGAGAGGCGGGTTCGCCCGGTGATATGCCACCGTTCTGTCTTCAGTTTTCCGAGGAACCTCCAGATCGTCTTCCGCAGAAGTGGTACCATTTTACGATCCTGCCAACAGTGCACAGGGGTTCCGGTTTCTCCACATCCTCGCCAACACGTGTCAACGTTGGTGTTTTTTGATAATTGCCTGTGAGGTGATAGCTCACTGTGGTTTTGACGTGCATTTCTCTGATGCTTAATGCCCTTGAGCTCATCTTTTCATATGTTTGTTGGCCTTGGACATCCTGAGGAGCCCTACCACGCACCAGAGTGATGCCTCCGGGGAGTGACTTTCGTGGCTGGTCGGACAGCTCTTCTGTCATTCTGTGGCCCCCGGCCCCCCTCACATGGCAACGAGTTGTGTCCAGGGCCTAATAACCAAGCCCACAGCGTGGCAAGCTTTAGCTCAAAGCCAAGTTGCAAAGCTCTGACTTGAGTCCACTTTGTGCATCTGCTGAGAACACACACTGCCTGGGCTTTAGGACTGCTCTTTCTGGTAGGCCCAGAGCTTCCCCATGTCCCCCCAAAGGGGCCACCGCCGCACCTCTGCTGCTTGCCCGGGCCCCTGCTGGTCTGCACAAGTATCATTCAGCTCCCTGACCGTGGCTAGTGGTTCCGTGGGGGCTAGAGACTTGAGTGTGTCCCACGAGAGGCGTGTCAGCTCACAGCCAGGAGAAGCTCTGGGCCAGGGGCCAGCCACGGGTTGGAGGGGCTCAACCTCAAGCAGGCACCCTCCCCCCAAAATGCTCCAACTGGCCAGACCCTCCCGGGCCTTTTGGCTAGTTCTCCCCTCCCCCTGCCTAAGCCCGATTCCTGGCGGTGGCCCAATGGCAGCTCAGGAATGTCAAGTGGAGCCTCTCCCTGACAGGGAGGGTGCGGGGAGGGGGATAATAGAGTCTCAAGTTCTCCTGGAGCCCCTGACTTTAGGAAAGTTGCAAGGTCCACTGGGTTGAAGCCTGGAGGGGTAAAGCCACCTATGGAAGGCCCGAGGCCTACGGAGAAATCGTGTGGGCAGCTGTTGGTTCCGCTCTGAGAAAGAGACACACAGTTCAGGCCTTACAGGAACACAATGACAGGCGTCAGGAGATCTTGACCACCACTCTCTCCTTGCCAGGATCAAGTGGCCGGAGGGGCAGCACTGCCCCAAGCCCTGTCCTTGCTTTATGGCCTGGGGGACCCTGTGCAGGCCTTCATCTTCCTCATCTGCCTGGGAGCGGCTGGGGCAAGTGGAGGTTCTGATCCTCTCCAGTCCCCCAGGGGCCTTGCATGTGGCTGAGACCAGGTCGGGGCCCAGCGAAGGCGGCAGGGGTCAGCATCTGAACCCTGAGGGCTGCTGAAGCTGGGGTGGAGGCCCCGCCCCTTGTGGAGGGGCTGGAGATTGGGGCAGGAGGTTCAGTTCCTGTAAGAGCCTGCCTATCCTTGAGCTCACCTGCAAACATGGTGGCAGCAGGGGTATCTGCAGTCACCGCTCACCTCGACCGCCAGCCACACACACCTCTGCTGCCCCCCACCCCCCCCACACATGCTCAGGGAGGGGGTTCAAGGACACCTCGGTGCTCAGGCAGCCCAGGGCCATGGGCAAGGCCTTCACGGTTGTCTTGGCAACCAAATAGAGGTCTCTCGGTACCAAGGAGAACCCAGAAGCCCCTTCAGCCTTTCCTGGCGCCCTGGCCCTCCTGCCCCACAAATACTAGCTTTAATGATTTACTACAAATTGTCAAACCAAGATAAAAGGTTAGCATATCGGCGAAATATACTTCGTGTTCTCCAAGTGCATTCCCTGAACGGGCGCAGCAGCATCACTCCCCTGCGAACCTGTTCCAAAGGCAATTCTCCGCCCCCAAACCAGCCCTGCTGAATCCCACCCTGGCGGCGAGCGCAGCGGTCCTGCCTTAACAGGCTCTCCGGTGATCCCGCTGTGCTCGAGTTTCATACCCCCGCTGCCCTGCAGCATAGCCTTGGCCTGATTGCCTTCCATGTCGAGTGTGAACGCCTCGCTTCTAGGAACAGGTGTCTTTATCTCAAAAACACACAGAAAGTAGTTTGGGGAGCACCTTACACTCTCGAAAGGACTTGAATTTATTTAAGTAAAAATGGGGGAGGGGGCTGCAACAAGCAGAGCAGCCAGTGAATGACAGCGACCCGCTACCGATGCCGGGGCCCCTGCCCCCCTTCCACATGCCCACCCTGCAGCCCCAGCGGCAGGAAGACCACGCCCCCCGCCCCCCCACCCCGCAGACCGCCCCGCGCGGGGCCGGATGGCGCGGCCGGTCGCTCAGCCCCGACGGCGGCCTCGCTGCGCAGACGCTGGGGGCCGATTGTTTGAAAGCTATTTACAGTCACCCCGAGGCAGCGTTCCCACCTCCGTGCGCTCAGGACTGAACGTTCCAGGACGCGTGGCTGGAAGCCCCGTGTGCGCAGCGTGTGGTTCCAAACCCCGCTGGCGCAGACCTGGGCCCCGAGGGCAAGGCCGCACCGGTCAAGGGTGTAAAGTCCCCGCCCCTCCCCCGTGCCCCCCGCCCCGCCGGGCGCCGCGAGCCGCGAGCCGGGAGCCCGGCGCGGGGCAGCGCCCGGCGTGGTGGCCGCGGCCCCCGCAGGCGGGGGGGGCCCGCCGGGACACCGCCCGGACACCGCCCGGACACCGCCCTCGCCGGCCCGGAGCGCGGCGCAGCCAATGGAGGCCGAGGCGCCGCGCGGGGATTGGAGCGGGCGCGGGGCGGGCCGGCGGGGCCGGGCGGGGGGAGGAGGCGAGGCGGGCGCTGTCAGCGCGGTTATAAGGGAGGGAAAAGTTCCCTGCGCCGGGAGCCGGGCAGGCGCACGCTCGTACGGCGGCCGCAGCGGCAGGGCGGGGCCGCGGAGGAGCCGGTGGCGGCGGAGGACGCCCCCGGGGCCGCGACTCGCTCCCCTCGGGGTCTCTGGCGGACCTCGCCAAGGTACCGGCGGCCCGAGGGCTTTCGCACGCAGCCATGGGCGGCGTCGGGGAGCCCGGCGAGGGACCCGCGCAGCCGGGGGCGCCGCTGCCCGCCTTCCGCTGGGAGCAGATCCGCCAGCACAACCTGCCGGGCGACAAGTGGCTGGTCATCGAGCGTCGCGTCTACGACATCAGCCGCTGGGCACAGCGGCACCCGGGGGGCAGCCGCCTCATTGGCCACCACGGCGCGGAGGACGCCACGGTAAGCAAGCCCACCGCTGGCCGGGTGGAGCCTGGCGCTGGCTGGGGCCTGGTCGTGGGCACGGGGACTCTCTCTACTTGCGGGGTCTGGCATCCTTTCTACTCTTCGCTGACCTTTGAGCTCCTGGTCCGGGACCCAGGATTGGGATGGACAAGCCAGGGCCGGATGTGGAGTAAGGAGGCCAGGTCTCTGCATGGAGGACCTGCACACCTGGCCACAGGGCTGGGCTGGGCCAGAGCTGGTCTGTGCAGGAGTAAGGGGCTCTCAGGTGGGTGTGTCATGGTCAAGGAGCCCTCCTTGTGCCCTGAGCTCCTCCTCTCAGTTCTGGGTCCCCCAGGCCAGGTTCCTTTTGCTGAGTGCCAGGGGTAGGGTGGGGTCCCCCGGGAGACTGGCAGGGATGTGCCACCAGAGGCTGGGGGCTGGGCAGCAAAGCTTGGGCAGGGCCCAGAGGTCTGTGGCTTTTGCAAAAGCCACTGTAAACCGCTCTGAGGGGCAGTGACTCACCTCTCCTGGGCTGGCAGCTACACGTGGGAGAACTTTGCCAGCCAGGCTGGGTGGGCCTCCTCGGGAAGCATGGTCACCCCAGGAATAGGCTGGCCCTGGCGGACCCCAACTTCCCCTTCCCAGCCCATGTCTAGACATGCCTTGCCAAGGAGGGATGTGGCCTGGTCCACTGGGACTGTCTGGCTGGAGTCCAGCAGTCCCCCCATCCAGAGACGACGAGTTGAGGCCACGATGCTCTGCCTTGAACGTCTAGAATTCTGGGTTGGCCACCCTGAGTACCAGGAGTCTTCAAGATATCAGGAGATGAATCCCTAACTGGCAGAACTTTAAGCAGCAGAAGAAATTGTGCTCTGTCCCAGGAGGTCAGTGTCCCTGTTTACCAGGGTTGCCGGGTTGGGCGATCTCCATGGACTCTTTAAGGGAAAAGGTCTTTCTTCCCCACTTCTACCCTAAGAAACTGAGGGTTTAGAGTCAGAAGCCTCCTGAAAGTCTAGAACCTGACAGAAAGCCTTGTCCATGGGCCAGGTGGTGGCCATGGAGTTGAAGATGACTGGGGGCCAACAGTGTGTGACCACGCACAGGCCTGTATGCGTGTGCACTGAACACATTTGTGTGCATGGTCGTACGTGTGTGCATTTCTGCTGGGGGGTTGGGGGGGTGAGGTGCCACGACTCTGACCACCCCTCAAGGCCACCCCAACCTTGGAGCTGAGGGGCAGGATGGAGGCAGGAGAGGGGAAGGATGACATAGAGCATTTCTCAATTACTTGCTCCTGCTTGGTGCCCAGGCCGGTGCTGGGGGCCTCCCGCATGGGAACCCCATCATACAGTTAGGGCTCGACCCCGAGACCTCCATCTGACAGATTTCGCATTGGTTCATCGCCAGTAAGGTCTGTTTCCCATTTCCAAAAAGCAATCTGTCTGCTCCTTGGGGCTGGGTCCTGGCTCTGCCACTGGAGACATTGAGTGACCTTGAACCAGGTGTTACTCCTCTGAGCCTCAGTTTCTTCATCTGTAAAGTGGGGAGAGCTGAGCCAGACAGTGAGCCGCCTGCGGGCAAGACCGTGCCTTCTCAACTTTGTGGTCCTGGGGCTGCCACGTAGTGGCTCCTGGTTGGTACGTGTGGTTGGCTGGTAAGCGTGAGTGTGCCCTGCAAACCACACAGGGCAGTGGACTAGCCGGGGCATGGCCGCCCCTGGGCTGAGTGGCCTTGTCTCATTCTATCCAGGTCTGGAACGGGAAGGAGTTGCACTGGGGCCATCTTAGCTTCCTCAGGGTCCAAACACTGGGCCGGAGTTGCCAGAAATACCTGGTCTGTTCGGGCCAAAGGGGTTCTGAGGTGGCTGGGGGGCGGGGGGCCCCAACGTTTGTCTCTGATGGGCCCACAGCACAGATGACAGATGCTGTGTGTGGTCGAGTCCAGGCCCCAAGCACCCCATTCCAGGCTGTGTTCCCTCCCCACCCTTCATTAGCCCCAGCCGCCCATCAGCTGTTCTCATGTCCAGGCAACAGAAGCCTTCCTGCCAGGAAATTCCCAGAGTTCCTGTGCCATGAAGTCAGCCTGTGGCCATCCTGGGATACAAAGCTGGGTACCCTGGGGAGAGTGCTCTGGGCCCTGAGCCAGGTTTGCCTAAGAAGTCAGAGGCGGCTTGAGACTAGCTGAGCCAGCCAGGGAAGGGCGAGGCCCGGCTGCTGCTGGTCAGAAGTGTACCAGGGCTGGGCACTGAGTACCTACTATGTGCTGGGCTCCAAATTCAGCATTTGATTGATAGGTACTCTTCTAATCCTCAGGATACCCCTATGAGGCCGGTACTTTTAGTGATTTTCCCACTTTACAGATGGGAAAACTGAGGCTCAAAAAAGGAAAGTGACTTGAAATTAAGTGGCAGGGTCTGAGATGTGAATCCATAGCCCATCCTCTTCAACATGCTGCCCTGTGGCTTAACTGGGTTTTTCCCATTCATTCATTCTTCACTTACTGAATCATTAAACCCACCAGCAGGTAGATATTCAGTGAGCATACTGTATCCACCAAACTCTGTTCTAACCTCTGAAGATACAGCCGCGAACAAACCATCGCAAAGACCAAGGACGAAGTTCCTTGGCAGAGGATTGAGCTAGAGCAGAGACTCAGAGGTGGGAAGGTACTCAAGGAACAGCAAGGATATTGGCGGGGCTGGAGTGCAGTAGTGGGGAGAGGGGCACGCAGTGAGGTCCAGAGGTAACGGGGAGCTGGCTCCTGCTGGGCTTCCGTGTCCCTGAAAGCAGAACTTCGGTTTTATTCTAAGGGGATCTTGGAGGGCAGAGCAGGGAAGCCAGGGCAATCTGAGATACATTTAAAAGGATCCCTAATGTGGAGGGGAAGGCAGAGCCCTCCAGGAGAAGGGCAGGAGGCTAAGGGAAGAGACGGTGGGGACCTACCTTCTCCCAGGTGAGGTCACTCAGAAGAGGTGGCCATTCACCTGGGCTCTGAAGGGCAGGCATGGCCAGGGCAGAAGGCAGGAGCTGCTCGGGGCCCAGGTGCACCAGGGGTGCGGTATTAGGAGTTAGCTTCAGGGGGTGTTGAGGCAACAACGCACTGAAGGCAGGTATGAGTGTTGGCCCATTTTGCAGATGAGGAGACAGGCTGAATGTGGGTGACATGAAGGGACTTTCTTGGGGCCCTCAAAGGGCAGGGCCTTGTCCTTGGGCTTGGAGGGTGGGGTTTGTGTCTGGGTCGGAGCTGGGGGGAGGTGGGGCAGATGGGGGGCTCTAGAGGGAGGGGGGGCTCAGAGGGGGCTGGCCGGGAATGCAGAGGACCTGGCTCCAGAGCCCATGCTCTTCCCACCCACCACGCCGGCTGCCCGCGTAGCCCGGCTGCCTGACAGCACTCCCCATGGAGTGTGACCTCCCTGGGCTCCGTGGGTGGTTTCTGCAGGGTCCCCACCCACTCAGGCTCCTTCCCAGGGTAGTTGCAGTGCCAGGCTCCTGCCCTGGGGGAGTGCTGGGCAGGAACACCGTGCAGATGTAGGGACGCTTGTGGCCCCAGCACGCTGGTGGCCCTCTGCTTTTCTTGCCGAGGGCACCCAAGCGTGGTTTCCCACGAAACAGCTAGGAAGAGCCAGAGCGGGAGAGTGGTGGTAGAGAAAGGACCACGTGTCAGACGGCCTGGCCCCTTTGGGGTGCCTGACACTTGTGAAGCCAAGGTGCTGGGTGGAACCCTAATGTGGGTACCGGCCCATCACCAGGGGCACCGGGAGCGGCTCTCTGGGAGGGTCTGTCCTTGCGCTGGGCTGGCCTGCACGGGTGGGAGTTGGGTGGGCCGTGTTCAGAGTTCAGAGCCTCTGTGTCTTCGTGTCCCCGTCTATAAAACGGGGACCCTGATACTACCTTCCCACTGGCTCCGCTAAGGAGTGCTGGGGTCGGGGGATGGGAAGGAGCATGTGTGCTGGGCATGAGGGCCTCCTTCATCTTCCCACCTGGGAGAGGGACAGAGGGAGGGATTCCTGGGGTATTCCCTGAGGCTTACCCCCCCACCTCCCATTGTCACAACTCAACAGAGGCTTAAGGAGGCCGCAAGCACAGACCCAGACCACCTGAGCCCCCAGCAGCCCTGCTGCATTCCCTTCCTGATCTGGAACATTCCCGATCCTTCGGGGAGTGACCAGGAATGCTTGCCCGACCCCACTGTGTCCCTGTTCCCCAGCTTCTGGCTGGCAGGGTGCACTCCACTCTCCTACCTCAACGCCCACAGGCCCGCCCTTGGAGACCGCTAAACCCCAGTGGACTTGGGAGAGGGGCATGTTGGGCCAGCGGTGGGGCGGGGGGGGGGGGTGCTCGGCCAGAGCTGGACGCCAGGCCCTTCTAAGGGCCTGCACTGACTCCGTCCTCCTGGCAGCCCCGCGAGATGGGCGTCGGTGGTTTCTGCTGTCCTAATGAGGAAATACGAAATGGAGGGGCATGCGATCTTGTCTGTGCTCCCCAGCTCGGCTCGTAACGCTGCTCAGATGCCGGCCCCAGCAGGCTGGTGCAGAGCCTTAGCTGGCTGCTACTCGGGGCTCAGGAGGGGCTGTGGGGCAGGGCAGGGGCCCCTGCAGGGGCCGAGGCAGGGCTGGGAGGGCGTGGGCATCCCCGCCCTGCCGTGACGATCTCTGGCCTGGGCGGATGCCCCTACCACGCTGAGCCTCCGTTCCAGTAAAATGGTTCTTACCCCTACCTTGTGGGCTGTGGAGGGTTGGCTCTTGTCCCCGCCCTGCCGTGACGATCTCTGGTCTGGGCGGATTCAAATCCCCGCCCTGCCGTGACAATCTCTGGCCTGGGTGGATGCCCCTACCACACTGAGCCTCCGTTCCAGTAAAATGGTTCTTACCCCTGCCTTGTGGGCTGTGGAGGGTTGGCTCTTGTCCCCTTATTCACACCTGCTATCCAGCCCCAGCTCTGCCAGGCCCTGGGGACAGCCCTGTGGACGGAGCCTCTCACTGCTACTAGCAGCTTATGTTAGGGCCACCGGCAGCCTCACCCAGCTCTGTTCCAGGCCCGTGGGAGAGACCTGGAGTGCCACCCTTGGCACATTAGGTGGGGGAGGACCGTAGGATGTTTCCAGGTGCACCAGGGGTAGGTGAGGGTGGGGTCTCCTCAGGCAGTGCAGCCCAAGAAACGCCAAGACCCCCCCTCCTGTGCCCCACAGTCCAGCCTCCAAGCAGCTGGGTCCTTGGCTCTGTGGGATGGTGGCCAGCTTCGTGGTGAGGGCCACGCTCCACCCCCCCGCCCCCCACCCCCTGCCCAGGAGACCCACTGCCTCCTCTCTGGCCCAGGAGTGGTCACCCTGGGGCTACTGCTGAGTGGCCCCCAAGCACAGTTTTACAGTCAGACTGGGTTCTGATCTAATCTCCATCAGATGGAGCTGTGTGACCTTTGTCCGTGGCTTAACCTCTCTGAGTCTTCTGCCCAGCCCCTGGGTCCTTAAGCAGTGGCCCAGAGAGGATCTGGTCACATGGCCCTGGCAAGTGTTCCAGCAAAAGCTGTTTGCTGGTGCATCAGGTTTTGGTCTGAGGCCAGCGATGCACCTTGTTGGGACTGAGAGCATGAGAAGAACAGGCTCGGGGCGCCTGGGCGGCTCAGTCTGTTAGGCGTCCGACTCTTGGTTTCGGCTTAGGTCATGATCTCATGGTTGTGGGATTGAGCCCAGCATTGGGCTCCATACTCAGTCTGGAGTTGGCTTCAGATTCTTTCTCCTCTCCCTCTCGCAAATAAATAAATAAAATCTTAAAAAAAAAGAACAGGCTCAGTGGTGCCCACCTGCTTTCCAAGGACCTGCCAAGCCCTGCCCATCCCCTCTCATTAGCCAGAGCTTTGTCTGTGAGCTGTGGGATTTTCTCACCGGCCCTTTGGGGGCTCACACTTCCCCTTGTCACGCCAGGGGATAGACCTGACTGGAAGTCCCTCAGGTGGCCCTCGGCCTTGGTGCATCCCCAGGCGTGGCCTGGGTGAGTCGGGACCCAGGGAGAGAGTCCAGGAGGCTGGCCTGTTCCTGCAGCAACTCAGCTCCAGAGCATGGCCCTGGAGCATCTGGGGGTCTGCTGGGCGCCAGGGTGGCCCCAGAACACAGAGGATGGGGGAGAAGAAGGGCTGGAAGAGGAGGGAAGGAATCCTGTGGTGTAGCTCTCTGCTGCCAGGGGAGTTTTAGAGGAAGCAAGCAGGAATCAGAGTCAGTGCTCATCAGCCTTCGAAAGGAAGGAAATTCTACCACCTGCTACAACATGGATGAAGCTTGAGGACAGGATGCTGAGTGACAAGTTAGTCACAAAAGGACAAATATGTTTGATTCCTCTTATCAGAGGTCCCTAGAGCAGTCAAATTCCTAGAGACAGCAGAGTGGTGGTTGCCGGGGGCTGGGGAGGGGGGGCCGTCAGTGTTTCGTGGGGGCAGAGGTGAAAAAGTTGCGGAGGTGGATTGTGGTCGTGGTCACCAGCAGTGTGAATGCACTTGATGCCGCTGAACAAAATGGTTAAAAGAGTAAAGTAAGAAAACAAAAAAAGTTAATGCTCTGCGTCCAGAGCCAGAAAGGTGCTGGAGTCTTGCCCTCTTCTGCCTGGTCCCAGCAGGAGGACAGACTTGCTCAAGGTCACAGCGAGTGGGGTCAGCTGGAGCCCCAGAGCCGTCTTCCCTCCCGGCTTCCCAGGAGGCCCCGGGCCAGGCAGCTTCCTGTGGGGCCAGTCTCCCCTCCACCTCCTCTCCCCCAAGTCAAGGTCGCCCTGGAGAGGGGGAGGTCTGCACTACACAGCCGTCTCCCTCTTAGGAGCTCAGGAAAGGGCCCCCAAGTCACCTTCCCCAGGGCCTCGGTTATTCCAGAAGCTTCACCCTCCCAGCAACCCCCCCAACCCGTCTCTAGGCTGCTCCTGGCCAGCAAGAGAGCAGACAAAAGGAAAAGGGACCCCTCGGGTGGATTCCGCAGGTGTGGCCTCTAAGTGGGGGCTGGAGGGGCCTGAAGTGCTTCCTCCCCACAGGACCGCGTGGGATGTCCAGTAGCAAGTATAGGGGCCCAGCTGTCCGTTTGAACATCCCCCAGAAGCTGGAAGGCTTGTTAGCAAGGGAACAATAGGAGGCCCCATGCGTTCTCAGCCTTCTTCAAAGCTGTTTCCTTTGGCAGCCAGCAGGCCCCTTCCCCAGGCCCGCCAGGACAGCCTCTCACCCCAGTCCCTGGTCAGGGCAGCTGGGTGGCGAGGGCTAGTTCGTTCAGAGAGAGCCTCTGAAAGTCCAGGGATAAAGATCCAGTGAAGAACTGGGAACAAGAACAAGCCTGTGGCACCAGGACTCGATCAGCAAGACTAAGGGAGCCCAGTTAGCTCACATTTCAGAGCTGCCTGGGCCGGCTTCCTCACTGGTCCTGGGCCCTAGCGCTTTGGCTTTGGCCCTCTAACCCCTGTCGCATTGCACCCCACCCCCAGCTGTTACAGAATCACGGGAATGTGTGATATTTATTTCATTTGCTTTTTTAAAAAAAGTGGTATTTTTCCCCTCTGTTTTTAAAATCAAATGTGTTTAACTGTTTCAGTGTCTCCCTTGCAAACCTAAGAACTCAGTCTGTGTGGCCCTTGCCTGATTTTTGGACCCCCCCCACCCCCCTTCTGGGGAAAGCAGCTGGGGCCAGGCAGGTGAGGAGCTTCCAGCAGGACACCTAGGGCCTGGGGAGGACCCAGCCGGGCCAGTGGGCAAGGCCGACCCGTTTGGCCCTATTTATCTGACCACAAAACATTCAGCTGCGTCTCCATCCATCGGAGCCCCGCACTTCCATCCGCGGTCCTCCTCCTGCCTTGTCTGCCTGCTGCCTCTGGGGGCCGCCGGAGCTGTCTGTCTGTCCCCCTGACTGTTGGCCTTCCTTCAGGATGCCTTCCACGCCTTCCACCAGGACCTCAATTTCGTGCGCAAGTTCCTGCAGCCCCTGCTGATTGGAGAGCTGGCCCCGGAGGAGTCCAGTCAGGATGGACCCCAGGACGTGAGCTGGGGGGAGGGGGTTGCTGGGGGGGGCATCGCCAGGAGCAACTCCGTCCACATTCCCCCCAGGGGCCCCCCGGGGCCAAGGCTGGGTTTACCATCCCTCCCTGGGCAGGTAGCCGAAGGTGGAGCTAGAGGGACGCCTGCAGGAACCCGGGGCTGCGGGGCTGGCTGGGCCAGCATTTGCTGGTGTTTCCTGCTCTGGGCCCAGTATCCCCATCTACACTGAGAGTTTGGACGCACTGGGTTCTTAGGGTTTGCCCCGCTCTGGCTTTCTCTGCTTCTCACGTGCCCCATACCTTTTGTGGGGCGAGGCTTTGCCACCAGCCAACTCCCCGGCTCAGACCCCAGGCTGGTGCTCTCGCCCCTCCGTCCCTCCAGCTGCACCCCCAGGATCTCACACTGGGACCGGCTGAGGCATGGGTCGCTGTTGGAGGCTCCCTGGGACCACTGGGAGCTCGCTTCTATAGCCAACCAGCCCTTCCACTGTGGCAGGCCCAGCTGGTCGAGGACTTCCGCGCCCTGCGCCAGGCGGCTGAGGACATGAAGCTGTTTGAGGCCAAGCCCGCCTTCTTCGCTCTCCTGCTGGGCCACATCCTGGCCATGGAGGTGCTCGCTTGGCTCCTCATCTACCTCTTCGGCCCGGGCTGGGTGCCCAGCACCCTTGCCGCCCTTGTCTTGGCCACCTCCCAGGTGACTCCAGCACCGTTTTGCCACCACCTGAACTATCTAGTAGATACGGGGCCTGGCACACCAGGACACTCTGGACATATTTGCTGAGTGAATGAATGAATGAATGAATGAGCAGCAGAGGTTCCCAAAAGGCGTGTATCTGTAGGTCAAGCTGCATTTTAAACGAGCTCCCTGACAGACTTGCAAGCCCCTAGGCCTCCCGAATCTCAGTTGTCCTCATCTGTTAAAAAGAGGAAGATGGCTCACAGGGTCTTAAAACCCAACATTAGCTGTGGGGGTGCCCTGGACCTGGGAGGGCTCCCTGGGGCTCCAGAGCTGGGCCCCCCATGGTTCCCTCCCACTGGCTCCTAACCCTGCTCCTGCCCCCAGGCTCAGTGCTGGTGTCTGCAGCATGACCTGGGCCATACCTCGGTCTTCAGGAAGTCCCAGTGGAACCACGTGGCCCAGCAGTTTGTGATGGGGCAGCTGAAGGTGAGGGTGGGGGCGGGTGGTCGGGAGCCAGGGGCTGAACTGGGGCTGTCTCGCCGGGTCTGTGCGAGATTGCAGGCACGGGGTGGAGGACCTGGCCCCTGCCCTGAGAGCCCCTCTCACCCCTATAGGGCTTCTCAGCCCACTGGTGGAACTTCCGCCATTTCCAGCACCACGCCAAGCCCAACATCTTCCACAAAGACCCAGACGTGACCGTGGCACCCATCTTCCTCCTGGGGGAGTCGTCCATTGAGGTGTGTGGGGAGAATATGGACTCACTCGGCTGGGCCTGCAGCTCATTGGGGGGGGGGGGCGGGGAGGACTGTGGCCACCGAGTCCCTTGCTGTAGCCCAGACCTGGCCCTTGACCCAGCTCCCCCCGCCCCCGACTCCAGGCCTCGCCCCTGCCCGAGGGCCTCCTCTTCCCTGCTTGCCAGCCGGGTGGGGGCTGGGGATGGGCCCAGTGGCCAGAACCTGGGGTTGCCTTGCCCCCAGCCAGCCCCCTGCCCCGACCTGGGAGGAGGAAGAGGGCCTGGCAGGCCGCTCTCCCCAGCCCCGGCTGTCTCCACAGTACGGCAAGAAGAAGCGCCGCTACTTACCCTACAACCACCAGCATCTGTACTTCTTCCTGAGTGAGTGTCTGTGTGTCCTGCCAGAGGTGGGGGCACAGTGGGGCCTGGGACCGTGCCTGCCAGCCCTGGACAGAGGTCGCCACCGCCTCCCGGGACAGGGGCCCACTTGTTAAACCTCCCTCCATACGGCACCTGCTGGCCTCTCCCAGCCCCGGTCGCCCCGGTCACCCCAGCCTGCGGCCAGGCCTGACTGTCCCCTCGCCAGAGGCCGCCACGGCCCTGCCCTGCCCGAAGCGTTCAGAGTTCCCTCCTGCACTCACACCAGAGGGGTCCGGAGCCCTAGAGCATTAGGACAGTCGTTGGGGCGGCCAGGGTGAGGGTTTAAGGGTCGGGACGTGGGAAGCTGGCCCCAGCCTGCGGAAGGCTCAGATGCCAAGGGAAGATCGTGGACTAGGCCTTGTGGGTGATGCGAGGTCACCCAGCTGGAGGGGACTGGCACCAGGTCCCACAGGTGTTCCCGGGATAACAGCTCCTCGCTCCCCAACTCCCCAAGCCCCGTGGATGTCCACCCTCGGCCTGCTCTGCTTGGCTGCCAGCCCTGCTCCTCCTGAGCCCCCTTGTGCTCCCTTGCAGTCGGCCCACCGCTGCTCACGCTGGTGAACTTTGAAGTGGAAAATCTGGCCTACATGCTGGTGTGCATGCAGTGGGCGGTGAGTGGGGGTTCTGCTCGGGTCCCCTAGGGAAGCCAGCTGTGGCAGCAGGAGGTAGGGCACGAGGGGGCAGCCCTGCCCACGAATGCAAACAGGTGTGCACGGGACTCTGATACACGTGTGTGTGTGTGTGCGCGCGCGCACGTGAGTGTGCACGGGGTGTGCTGGGGGTCTCTCCCAATCAGGGTGTCCTTCCAGGGGGTGGGGATCCCCTGGGCCGACTCTGCCAGGCATTTGTCTCCCACAGAGGGGTCCCCCCATGGCACCTTCCCCTCCAGAGTCAGTCCCATGAGGCTGGCAAGGCAAAAGGACCCTGTCCCTTTACCTTGCTGAGAAAAACCGAGGCCCAGAGGCAGACGGGGACCCGTGCAGGGCTCCGAGGCGCAGCCAGCAGGAGGGGTGGATGACCCCAGCTCCCCTCCCGGCTGCCTCGGGGCCTCTGTGCTCCTCTCCCCTCCTCCGCAGGACTTGCTCTGGGCCGCCAGCTTCTACTCGCGCTTCTTCCTGTGCTACAGTCCCTTCTATGGCCTCCCTGGGGCCCTGCTCCTCTTCGTCGCTGTCAGGTACGGCCAGGTTTGGAATGGCAGTGAGTTGGAGAGGCCACACACAGGCAGCAGGGGACCCCGACCACAGCCCTCCGCTCTCAGAGCCTCCACGTCCCCATCTGCAGTATGGGGACAGCAGGGTTGCCTCCCTGGGTGGCTGAGGAACATGAGTGGCAGGATCCCAGGGACAGTGGGTCTGGGCGACGTGGCCTGGCTTACAGGGGGCCCCGTGGATGGCCACCCTCACGAGCAGGACTGCTCTGGGCTCCGCTGAGCAATGGCCCCTGCTTTGCCCAGTGGGGGAGGGGCTACTGCAATCCCGTGGCGCAGATGAGGAAGCCGAGGCCCAGGTCTGATCCAGGTGGTGAGCTGGACACGGGCAGTGCCTGAGCCTCCCCTCACAGGGTCCTGGAGAGCCACTGGTTCGTGTGGATCACGCAGATGAACCACATCCCCAAGGAGATCGGCCACGAGAAGCACCGGGACTGGGCCAGCTCTCAGGTGGGCCGCTGGGGCGCCGCCGGGCCGAGTCCCCGCTAGGGGGAATGGGGGCCCTGGCAGGGCTGCCAGGTCCGGGCCCCTTGCCCACCTGTCTCACCGGTGCCCCACCCGTTCCTGGCAGCTGGCAGCCACCTGCAACGTGGAGCCCTCGCTCTTCACTGACTGGTTCAGCGGGCACCTCAACTTCCAGATTGAGCACCAGTGAGCGTGGTCCCTGGAGGCCCCACGGGGGTGGGAGTGGGTCCCGAGCCCAGGGGCTGACGAGGGGCCCCTGTGTCCACTCTTTCCCTGGGGAGGCCAAGACATAAGCCCGGGACTCCCTGGAGGCCTGGGAGGTGATGGGTGGGTAGGGGCTCCCTCCAGCACCCCCTCGCCTCAGGTGCCAGCCCACACTCTCCCCGCCAGCCTCTTCCCCACGATGCCAAGGCACAACTACCGCAGGGTGGCCCCGCTGGTCAAGGCCCTGTGTGCCAAGCATGGCCTCAACTACGAAGTGAAGCCCTTCCTCACCGCCCTGGTGGACATCGTTGGGTAAGGGCCCTCCATGCGCGGCGGCTCCCCTGGGGCCCCTTCCTGGGCACACGGGTCCCTCTCCAAGAGCTGGCACTCGAGGCCTTTTTTTTTTTTTTTTTTTAAGATTTTATTTTTATTTATGACAGAGACACAGCGAGAGAGGTGGGAGAGGGAGAAGCAGGCTTCCCGCTGAGCGGGGAGCCCGATGTGGGGCTCGATCCCAGGACCCTGGGACCATGACCTGAGCCGAAGGCAGATGCTTAACGACTGAGCCACCCAGGCGCCCCACTCGAGGCCTTGCTGATCAAACTTTCTGTCCTCAGCCTGTGCCCTCCCTCCTTTCCCAGGGCTCTCTCATACCGCCGGGTTTAGGGAGCACCTTTTGGGGACCCAGGCCCTGTCCTGAGGGCTGTCGATGCATCAGTATCTATGAGCAGAACAGGCCGAGATCCCTGCCTTCCTGGAGCTGACATCCTAGTAGGGGAAACAGAAAGCAGTTAAAATAAGTACAGAAAATGTGGGAAGAGAAGATATGCTTTGGCAAAACAAAACCATGAAACCTAAGAACGGGAGCGGGCGAGGGGATGGGAGGGCTAGGCAGGACTTGCGGTTTTTAATAGGGTGGCAGGGTAGGTGGTATTGAGAAAGCGCCACGTAAGCAGAGATGGGGACAAGGGGGGAGGGCTGGGATGGGAACGTGTGTGGCGGTGGGTGGGGGGAGAGACTACCTGGGGCAAGGGAAGAGTGCAAAGGCCTCTCCCAGTGACCCTTCTGCACCACCCCCACCCCCATGCCAGCCTCCTGCCCCAGAGGAATGGGGACAAGTCCACTCACCCTCACTGTCTTGGGGGGAAGGGGCTAGTATCTTGCAGTTAACACATCCACCCCATCTCTGCCTCCTAGATCCCTGAAGAAGTCTGGCGACGTCTGGCTGGAAGCCTACCTCCACCAGTGAGGGCAGCATGCAGGGCCCCGGCTGCCACCAAGCTGGCCCAGGCAGGCTTGACCCCTCCGGCCCCCTGCCCCCCTCCCCACCTGGCATAGGGGGCCCTGCCCACCCTTCTGGATCTGCTGTCTTCACCTCGGCCCCCTCACCTGTCTGCTTGGCAGCCCTAAGGCCATGGTTCTTGGCCAAACAGGACCAGGGCTAGGGGGATGGTACATAAAGCCACACAGCATGGCATGTTTTCCTAGAGCAAAAATTTAGGGAAAACTGTTATTTTTATATAAAAACAAACCCAGATCTGTGATGGAGTAGAGTATTGAATCTGCAAGAATCTTGGGGCTGGAGTCTGCCCCAGACTTCCTGAGAGGAGTTCGGGCCCTTGGGTGCTGGGAGATGGGGGCAGGGGGATAAATGGTGACTTTCAGAGGTCCCCTCTGCCCTGGGTCGGGGAGCCAGCAGCTGCCCCAGGCTCAGATCTCTCTGTGGGCCTGGGCCGTCCCTTCCTATTCTTTACCCACTCACCAGCAACCTTGGGCAGTCACGTTGGGGTCCCCTCACCTGAGTCCTCTACACAGCGGGACGGGGGCTGGTCCAGCAGACCAGGGCTCAGGGCAGAAGGCCATGTCCACAGGCGCCCCGTGAGCACAGGAAGCGAAGCCAGTATGGCCCGGACCTGCACTGGCCTCCCGCAGCCTCCGTGATGAGGGGCCTCCTCGGGCCACCCGCCGGTCCTGCGCTTGGCATCAGGCTGGTGGGGGTGCAGGTTGACTGTGCTCAGTGGCCCCCAAGAGCGGGGGACACCGGCCTTCTCGAACGCCTGCCTGGGACCAGGTTCTTGTGTGGTGTCAGCAGCTTAAAGAAAATGAAGCGCTGAGCTAGGATTTCTCTGAGGGCCTTTCTGGAGCGGGAGCCGGAGTCCCCCCATCCGCCGCAGGATGCCCCTCACTTTGTCAGGCCTGCCATTGCCGCGGGCTGGGTTCTCTTCAGGAGGTGGAAGGGGCACACATCCTGGAGATCTTCTCCAGTCCTTTCCCAGGACCACCCCCCCCAACCTGAGCCCCTCCATGCGGCTCCCACCCACTCTTCTCTGGTCAGGAAAACCCGGGTGGGGGGATGGGGGTCCTGCCTGCACTGGGACTCACGGCTGTATCACCTTGTGGGGAGTTATTTAACCTCTCTGAGCGGTACTATGACCTCCTAGGGTGGTGGAAGGTTCTTTGCATAGGGCTTAACAACAGGGCTCAGAATTTTTTAAAACTTCGTGCACGCACTCCAACACCCTGGGGCCCCACCTGCCCTGACCTGGGACAAGCCCGTGGCTGTCTCTGACCCCATGTCCAGAGCAGATCCCACATTCAGGGCCCCTGCCCAGGCTGTTCCCTCTGCTGGGAGACCCCCTTTCCTGTGGCCGCCTATGGAAGCCCTGCTGCCTCCGGGTGCCATGTGGGCCCTGACGGCAGCCCCTCCATCTCCTGGGCCGTCAGTGCATTTCCTACCGTGGCCCGGATGCACAGCCACCTACCGGAAATGTTAACACCCTGTCCTTGGGGGCGGCATGTCCCCGCGGTGGGGAATGCTGAGCCTGCGACGCCACCTAGGGGCGTCCAGAGTATCTGCACCGCGGTGGGGCGTGCCGCGCTCCGTGCTGCCCCTGGTGGTGGCCTCGGGGAGTGCGCTCTTCCTCTGCAAATCGGTGGTTGCCTAGTGACTTGCTCAGAGGACACTTGGGGAAGTGTCCTTCACTGGCGGGTCATCTTTGCCCTTGTCCCACTCTGTCCCCCATGCGGACAGGTCATCACCCCTCTCCTGAGCTGAGCTCCACTTCTCTATCAGGAGGTCTCTTCCGGAGTCCTGGAACAAAAACCTAGGCAGTGTGGGCCAGGGGTGTAAAAGGAGAGAAGGATGGGCCTTGGCGGAGCCTCCAAGAAACCCCCGATCCCTGCTTGATGGTCTGCACATAGTCTTGGGCGCAGAGTAAAAGCAGAAAGGCTGTGGGCAGCCAGGACTTGCTGATTTGTTCCTTCAGTCAACCAGCATTTACGGAGTCTCCCGTGGTCAGCCCGGGCAGATGGTGGGAAAGGAGATTCACAAGAACCAGACCTGCCGGTAATGTTGGGAGTGGCTGGTCTGGGTTATACATGAACTTCTATGTGACAAGACAGGTCATAGATCTTTCACAGGGTCCCCCCACCCCCACCCGCGGCAGGTCTGGGAGCACCTGGCTGCGTATTCTGCTTGGCCCTTTCCAAGCTCTCGGGACCTGTCCCTAATTCTCCTGGATTCTTGAACCAGGTGATTTGGAAGAAAGAACTAAATGCCTTCAACATCCAAAGAAACATTTATGAGGGCAGAGGGTAGTGGAGACTTGGTCTTCAAATGCTAGCATGCTAGGTGGCCGCTGGTTGTGTATGCTTGGCCAGTCTGATTCGAAATGTCCAATGCAGCCCAGAGAACCCCGAGTTCCTGGACCCGGGCCACGCCTTCCCCTCGGGCCTCAGTCTTTTCCCAAAAGTGCTTGTAGGCACTCCTGGGATCCACAGTTTCTCATTTCCATGTCAGGTGTCAGACCAGGGGCTTTGTGAGAAGCTGCATCCTGTCCAGAGTGACGCACCTCTCCAGGGACGTTGCAGCTAGGACAGCTGAGGAGTCCTGATTGGCCCAAGGCACTATCTCCTGAGCAGTGATCGGTGACTCCCAAAGGCAATTGGAGCCCAGGGCTGCCACCTCCACCCTGCCCCTTGTCACCAAAGGCCTCCTCTCTCCTCCCAACGGACCAAGAGGGTTTCTGAGTGGCCCACCGGACGCCTAAGGAACTTGCCAGGGTATTGACCACCGCTGCGGCTCCAGGTCCACGCACAGTCCAGGCTGCTGGGCCAGCCCCTCCTCGGGGCCCAGCGCCCTGCACGTGCCCAGGCCACCCACCAAGCTGAGCAGGCTCTCAGCCCCCCAGGGACTCCTTCCACCATCTCTGCCCCCTCTGGCCAGCTGCTGGGCCTCTTGGGAGTGGTCTGACATTTGACATGATGGTGTTGGGGGACGTCTTGTTCTGGGAAACAGCCCTTGCCTTGAGGGAGTGGAGGAGATGGCCAGGCAGAGTGCGGGGTGAGGAGCAGGGATCCAGCTGCTGCCACCATGTGGCCTCTGGCCAGTTCTTGCCCTTCTGGTCCCAGGCTCCACCAAGAATGGAAGCTTCGGGTCTTGTGATCACTGAGGACCACCCATGTCAGGGACTCATGACTTTGGGATGGGGTGCGAGGGTGGGGAAACCCATGACTCTGTGTTGGGCAAGAGCCTCCACAGAGTTTGGGGACAGGAGAAACAATTAAGCAGAGAGCAGGTATGGGTGTCCCCAACTTCGTGCCGCCAGGGTAAGAATACTTGAGCACAAAGACGGTGTGGGGGGAAAAAGCCACAGCGAGGGGCGCCTGGGTGGCTCAGTCGTTAAGCGTCTGCCTTCGGCTCAGGTCGTGATCTCAGGGTCCTGGGATCGAGCCCCACATCAGGCTCCCTGCTTGGCAGGGAGCCTGCTTCTCCCTCTCCCTCTACTGTCTGTTCCCCCTGCTTGTGCTCTCTCTCGTTCTGTCAGATAAATAAAATTTTTTAAAAAAGGAAAAAGCCACAGCGAAGATCCACGTGCCCGCTGACCTGATCCAAGATTTAGCTGGTGCCCTCAGAGCCACAACGTCCTCCAAGCCCGTCAGTCCTCCCCACCACTCTCCCTGTCCCCAGGAGCCTGCTTGGCGCAGGGGATGAACTTAGAGCTGGTGGGGTGGCGGGGCCTGTAATGTCCCATCCTGGGGGACCAGGAGCCACGCCCTGCCCAGGTAGGAGGCAGAACACAGGCACAGGTAAGAAGGATGGAAGGTGTGTCCCTCGTGGTCTTCCAGCCTCGAAGACCTCTCTCCTGGAAGGGCCAGGCCAAGGCTCACAGGTGCGGAGAGTGACAGCATCACGGCAGCCCAGTGCCTTCCCTATACAAATGGCGGAACTGGCCCAGAGGACCAGGGCACGGGGCTCACCCAAGGCCACTCAGTGGGTCTCTGCCTCCTGGCTCAGGGCTCCTTCCTGCAAACCCGGGTCCTGCTGCCGAGTCCCTGCACCCACCGGGGAACCACTCCCACCCTACCTGGGACAGCTGGCTGTCCCTGCCCGTGATCCTGGGGTCACGGGGAAAGCAAGAGGGGCACGAGGGTCTACCCCGCAGCCCTGCTGGGAGGAGACACAAGGCCAGGTGCTGGCTATGCCGAAACCCTTGGCCCTTCGCTGGCACACCTAGCTTCACCTGCTGGCCGAGCCAGCCCGTGGGCAGGGGAGCAGGGCAGCACGCGGGCTTCTGGTACAGCCCTGTGGACTTTGCCCAGGCTTGGCAGTAGGACAGACCCAGGATTCATTGTTTGCCGCTGCCTGTGAACCTGGCAGCCCTGGGCTGAGACGGCCTGGGTGTCTCCCCAGGGTGTGGGGACCAAATGAGCCGCTGAGCTGGACCCAGGGGCCATAGGATGGAAGCATAGGTCTCCAGGACTTTCCAAAGCCCCTTCTGAGAGTCTCTTTGCCCCCCAGCGCTCTGTGCACTGACCAGAAAATTGTGAGCAGATAGCTGGTCCCAAGAGGAACTGGGAACAGAGATGGGGAATGGGGAGGTCAGGAATGTGCTTCTCCTTGTTGCCCTCCAGAGACCTTCCAGAAAGCCTCCTTGGGCTCCAGCGGCCATGTGTGGGGTTGGGTTTGTGTGAATGTACTTCAGGGAAGGGGAGAGAAGTTCTCTCCTGAGCAGAGGCAGCAGGGGATGGGGGTAGGGTGACTGCAGCTGGGGAGGGGACAGCAAAAAGCCTGCCTCCACCACCATGGGCCTCCTCCCTGGTGCCCCGGTTACAAAGGCCCTTCCTCGGTCCCGACAGCCCGCCCAGCATTAACGGGCAAGAAATGAGAATAAAATTACTTTTATTTCCAAAAAATGTAGGGGTGGGGAAGTGACATGGTAAAAATTAACATCAGTTCCCTATGGATCCATTCTGTCTCTGGGGAAGGACAGCTCTTAGGGCCTGTGTTCTTGGCGGGAGGGCTTCGGGGGGCCCACGTTGCCATGGCAACCCACAGGTCTGTCACACAGGATGCGTCCCCCGTGGCTGGCCAGAGCTGGGGGACGACAGCCCTCCCCCACAGGCCCCCACTTTGAGCTCCCCTCCCCCGAAGCTAAATATTGGTTAGTGGGTTAGATTTCCGAATCTAGCAGCCCCGGGTCCCTCCCTCCCGCTCACTCCCCAACCCCTCCGCCGCCTGGCCTCCAGCCCTCAAACTTCTTGTTGCAGTTTTCACTGGGCCCTCATCATATCTCCCTCCCAAACCCCCAGATCCTCAGGGTCATCTTCTCTGGCACTGCCTCCCCCTGGGCCCCTGCTGCCCTCTCGACAGCAGCGGCTCCTGCAGCCCCCACAGTTGGGGTCCCTGTGGCCTCCGTGAGTGAGCCGGGCGGGCTCAGCCCACGGCGGGGCCCGGAGAGGCAGGTGGGAAAAGGTTCTGACAAGGCCCAGCCCTGTTGTCACTCCCCCTGTCAGAATGTATCTATAACAAAAGGTTAAAAAAAACAGGACAGGAGAGAGCAGTCCCGCATGGGGAGGGGCTGTGTGAGGCGCCCTCCTGCAGCTTGAAGGGCTCAAGGCCACTCGGCCAAGCAGCTAGAGACTGACTAGCACTGCCTGGCAGGTAACGGAGCGCTTCGGATAAGGGTCCGATCGCTCCAGAATCTTAGGTCTCCCAGCCCCGTCAAACATCTGAAGGGGGTGTGGGGGGTGGGGCAGGGCTGAGCCAACAGGCCGGCTGATCCTCTGACCGGGCCATGGCCTTGGCCAAGCCCACCTTCAGGATGGCCGCCTTGGCCCCCAGGTCCCAGGCTGTGGAGCTGGGGAGACATGGCAGATGGTGGGATGGAACAGCACAAGCCTCGGGTCAGGGGGCTCCCACGGGGCGAGGACACTTGCCTGGGCCCCGAGGTCTGAGCTGGCTGCACTGCAGGCAAAGGGAGCCAGGGTCAGGGCCAGGACCCTGGACATCTGAAGAGAAGGGGTGCCAGCAGGGAGGCCCCGAGCCCCGGTCCAGTGGGGCCATGTCGGGGGGGGGCCGGGCCTGCAGACCAGGGAGCCGTGGTGCCCAGCTAGGACCCCAGGACTATCGGAGGAAGACAAGGTAGTGTGAGGCCTAGAGGCCAGGCAGCAAGATGGGGCGGTATCTGTGGACCTCTGGTCTGGCAGAAGCTGGGGGCTGGGACAGAGCACCTCTCTCTGCTCCTGGGGGTGGGAGCTGGGAGAAGGTGAGGGGCCACCTGATAGAGGGCGGCCCCATGAGGGAGGGTGTCAGAGAGAGAAGCGAAGCGAAAGCAGAGAGAAAAACAGCAGAAAGACCAAAAATGGGATCCCCAAGCCAGCATGTACCCCAACCTCGTGGACACCCCTCAGAACAAAAGCCCACCCCTCCCTGTGGCCAGCACTCCCACCTGCTCCCCCTTCCCCGTGGGTGCCCCCAGGGCTGTTGCTTCATTTGTGGAGGTAGGCGTCCAGCCACAGCTCCCCGGACTTCTTCAGACACCTGGGAAGAGGAGGGGACCGTCAGGGGAGCCCTAGGGAGAGGGAGGCTGCAGAGGCCGCGCTGGGGGTGCGGTGCTTCTCAGCTCTCAGCGGGGCTGCAGGGTTGCCTGCTCAGGGCTCCCCGGGGAACCCCCGGAGGAAGGATAAAGGGAGGGTCCCCATCCAGCCCAGAGCGAAGCCAGGTCATTCCTAGTAAGGGAGGTGGCCCGACGGGGACACTTGAGCCAGGAGGGCTCCTCCCCTCCGGTGGCTGTCAGTCCCCAACGTGGGCAGTCCCAGCTGCGCGCCTCTTGGTCTCTCCCTCGGGCCCCAGGAACCCCCCCCCCCCCCCGCTTACCTGATGATGTCCAGCATGGCCCTCAGCAGCGGCTTCTCCTGGTACTTGACGCCGTGCTTGGCGCACAGAGACTTCACCAGCGGTGCGACCTTGTGGAGGTTGTGCCGAGGCATGGTGGGGAAGAGGCTGGGGAGAGCGGGGGCAGGGTGAGGGCGCCCCCGCCTCCGCTCACAGCCCGCACAGACATGGGCGGTCAGGGCCAGGGAGACCCTGTCCACAGCTCTCCCTGTGCGGCCCCCCGCCCCTCCCCAGGAGACCGGCGCACGGGGGCGGGGGGAGCTGGGCCTCTGTTTCCCTGTCAATAAAGGGATCAATCCCCCTGCCCTGCTAGGCTTGCAGGATCAAGGGAGACCTCTGTAATGAGAAAGCTTGGGCCACTCAGGAGGGGTGGCTGTCATAGGGCCGTGCGAGCCCCTCCCCCTCACCTCAGTGGGCTGGCTGCAGAGCCACGCTCGGGGCCTGGCCAGGGTGGAGAGGGAGGTAGCCCCCATGCGCTGCCCGTGCCCAGATGGGGCTGGTGACCTCCTCCCTCCCCCGGTGCCCCCCACCTTCCCAGCCTGCCCGCCCGCCCGCGCTCACTGGTGCTCGATCTGGAAGTTGAGGTGCCCGCTGAACCAGTCGTTGAAAAAGGACTGCTCCACGTTGCAGGTGGCTACCAGCTGCGGAGGGGAGGGGTGAGAGGCCAGGACAAGGGAGAAGGAAAGGCTTCGTCTCCTTCCCAGGAGGCCCACCCCTCCCTAACATCCCGCCCGGCCTAGAGACCTCGGCCCGCCCAGATTCCCCGCCGGGCCCGCCCAGCGGAAGGCCACAGGCAGCCCCAGGGAAGCCCAGTACAGCACCAGGCCCACTGAGCAGCCGAGTGCTGGAGGCCAGGGAGGTGGACCCACAGGCTCCACTGGGCCCCGGTGACCAGCTCTGGCTGCCCTCACCTGGCTGCTGAACCAGTCGCGGTAGGGCTCATGGTCAATCTCCATGACGAGGTGGTTCATCTGTGTGACCCACACAAACCAGTGGCTTTCCAGGAACCTGGAAGAGAGCACAGCTCAGTGCGGGAGCCACGGGAGTTGCCACGGGGCCCGGCCACGGTGGGAACAGACCCTCTCCCTCAGCCCCAGACAGCCTGGGCAGGAAGTGGGGAGCTCAGAGCCCTTCCGCACGGCCCCTCCTGTCAAAGTCCTGTCAAGGCCAAGCGCAGGTACCTGATGAAGTTGAGGAAAAGGACGGCTCCCAGAATGCCATAGAAAGGGACGTAGGTGATGAAGAACCGGGCATAGTAGCTCATAGCCCAGGCCAAGTCCTGCAGAGAGAACGAGATTGGATACGGGACCACCACCCACCCCAGCACCACGTCCTGATCACCGATGTGCACACAGCCCTCCCACGCCCCGAGAGGCAAAAGTGTCCAAGAACCCCCAACAGGCCTCGAGGAAGTTGGGCACCAGGCCCACGGAGAATGTGATGCTTGCTTGCACAAGGTTGGTGACCGTCTTTGTTTCCAGGGAAATGCTGAGTGAGCTGCAGGAGGGGGCTGGGGGCTTTGCTTCAGGGAAACAGGGCAGGGACCAGGAGATGTCAGCCAGGAGCAGCCCTTTCACGGCCCCAGGGATTCTGAATGTACATGGACCTCCCCCCCACCAACAACTGCCCTTCGGCCATGTCCTTCTTACCCATCAGCACCTGGGATCTCTTTCCTGGCAGGGCAAAGGGCCGACAATACTGTCCATCCTCTCCATATGGGCTCCCCCACGAGCTACCTCTCACATGCTAGTCGCCCCCCCACCCCGCTCCGTGCCCAGTTCTCCTGTCCCCTCTCCCTTCCTGCCCCTCGCTGGGGTGGCCATGGAATCCTGAGCTTGCAGGTCTTCCCTCACCTGGACAAGCGCTTCCCTCGGCTGCCCTGACTGCCCCACCCTCCATGGCAAACCTCCCAGCCAGGTGCTCTGTGGCGGGTGTCCCTCTCTCCCCACCACCTCTTTGACCCGAGGCTGCGTGCCTCCACTGGGCCATAGCGGGAGCCTCCCGTTGGTCTCCTGCTCTCCCTCGGGTACCATGGCAACCAGAGCCACCTTCTTAGCCCCAATAGAAGAAGCTGCCTTTCCCACAGAGCTCAGTGGGATCAGGACGAACCCTCTCTTGGGCCACCCTGACCCAGGTTATTCCTGCCTCGGGGCCTTTGCACGGTTTCCTCCCCCTCCGCCCCCCCATCACTTTTCCTCTCCAGAGCCTTGGCAGGGTAGTGATCCGAGAACAGGCACTGGGTCGGGCTGCCCGTGTGAGTCCCGGCTCCCCGCTGGCTCTGTGTGGTGATGTATTCAGCTGGGCCTCCGTGCCCCCATCTGCAGGCTGGGGAGAGACCTCCCACTGAAGTTGGCCATGGGTTGGCCATGTATTGCAACAGTGAGTGTAGCCCGCAAGGAAAAGCTCTGAATGACTCTAACCCAGTCCCTTTGTGCTTTGTCGCCATGGAGATCTTCCCCACATGGGTGGTGACGCTGCCATCCTCAAAGCCCCCACTCGCCTCCTTCCCCACTAGGGGATACAGGATGAGATCCAGCCCCCTGGGTAGGGCGCATGGGCCCTCCGCACGCCAGCCCGCCAACCTGGCCTCGTGCAGCCAGTCTCCCGACCCACGTGCACCCAGCCAGGCCAGGCTCTGTCACACTGCAGGGTCACTTCCATCTGGGCCTCCTGCCCACCCTCGTCTGCTTGGCAAACTCATCCTCAAGTCTGCGTGCAGTTAAGCTCCTCAAACTCCGTGAATGCCTCCTCTCTATTCGTGGGCGGAGTTGGGTGCTGGGAGCCAAAGGAGGGCCTTCGGGAGCACTGTGCCTGGAAAGACAGGCTTATAAAGATATCTCTTCAATACCGTTTGGAAGGTGACAGAAGCAAGGGGAGCATGGGGGTGGTCCTGACCTGACGCTCGAATTTAGGAAAGGCCTCCATCAGGAGATGGACACGAAATGATGGGAGACCCAGAGCAAGGCCCACAGCCCCAAAGAGGAGATACAGATTCCAGAATGATCTAGGAGGCCTGGGCAGTTGCGTTTGGGGACTGCTTAGTCGTGAGGAATCCAGGCTGGTCCCCGCATGGGTGTCGTCAGCTGAGGAGGCGAGCAGAGGGGAGCAGCTGGGAGGTCTGCGGGAAGGGAGAGTCTGGATGGGCGGCAGTGGGCCCCGGGCATGACCTGGGATCCAGCGAGGGGTCTTTAAGGGGGTGGGAGAAGCAAGCATTACAAGCTCTGCTCCTACACTTCATCACATTCGCCTTTGTTTCTTTCGTGTGTGTACGTAGTACAGTAGAAAATACATGTATATCCATGGGGCCAATCTTATTTCTTTTTGTGCAGAGCGACCCATGACCCCGGAACCACTGGTCTCAGGGATAGGGTGTAAAGCATGTGCGGGGGTAATAGAGAGGTGGAGGAGAACCAGCAGAGGTGGGACTTGGAAGCTGACAGGGAGAATTTCAGGAGAGAGCGGTTTGTGGTGTCGGACGCAGAACCTCCAGGGAGGGCGGCTGAGAAGCATCTCCAGGATACGGTCGCCACCAACACTGCCAGGGGGGCAAAAACCTCCCTCCTTGAGGCTCTCCCAGTGCATCAAGCCCTCTCCTCCACATGACTGGCGTCTGGGCCTGGATAAGCCCTCACTGTGGGGGGACTGTGCCGTACCCGACATGATGCTCGGCAGCATCCCCGGCTGGATGCCCACCAGATGCCTGATGCCAGAAGCACCCAATCTCCCCTGCGGTGTGACAATCAAAAAGGTCTCCGGATATTGCCAACTGGCCCAAGAGAATTGCTCCTGTTGAGGACCACAGCCCCAAGCCAGGGCTGCACTTGGCACCTAAGCTCGCTGTTACCGTAAATCAGAAAAGCGCAGCGCAGGACCCACCTCTGCCCCACGCAGTCACGGACCCCTGGGGGTGGGGGACACCGGATCTTATCTTCCCTGAATCCTCAGCACGAGCACTGACTGCAGTCAACTGCTTCAAAGAAGGAGCCTAAGGCTGGAGGCCTATCCCTCCCACCCAGCTGGAGCCCTACTCCCCAGTAGGGTCAAGGGCAGGGCTGCCCAGACTCCCCACCACCGAGCGGGGGGCCCCGAAAGACCTAGGGGCCCTATCAGATTTCCCTGGGTCTGCCATCTGATCCCATCCAGGCACAGTCTTATTTCCTTTCCTGTTGTCCTTATTGAGCGCTTTGTCCCTTGGGGAACAAGCACAGTAAAAAGAAAAGTATATATTTAGGCAGGAGTTGTTTGCCATAAAAGTTCATTAAAATACGCCCAGCAGCACCACGAAACCCCACACAGCAGGGCTCAAACTCCTCTTCAGCTTGAGTGACTCCTTCCAGGCCCCAGGGAGCCCAGTGGAAACAGTAGTTACCATAGGCGAGAGATCTGGGCTCAAATTCCCAACATGCCCGTGTCCCTTCACTCATAAGCCAGGGTCAAATGACATAATGAGGGTGGCCGTGCTGGGACATAGTAAGTACGGATGAAAGGCTCACTTCTGGGAAAACATCGTGCCCTAGAAGTGGGTGGTACAGTTTCTACCAACACAGGACTGGCAGAGACTTCCAGAGTCCCGCTGCCTCGCTCACCCCCACACCCCCCACCCGGGGCTCCTGAGTCCCAGTCCTGGACATCAGCAGAATCAACAGGCGTGGCCCCTTCGCCCACAGTTTCAGTGAGAGAGGACAAGGCGAAGTACTTTGAAACCCTGCAAACGCTATAGAAATATGAGGGACTGTTACTTGGGAGATTGGTAGCTGAAGTGGGGGGACAGTACAGGACACGGCCTAGGTTCTAAGGGCCTGACCCACCCCTTGGTGTCACCCTGGGCAAGTCCCCAAACCCTCAGAGTCCCAATATGTTCATTTATAAAACTGGACTAAGAAAACAAACAAACAAACCCGTGATCCTAAGTGACCCTCCACTTGGTCTCCAGGGCAGGGGGCACTGTCCCTGTCCCCACGAACCCCACTTTGCCGCAGACTCTGCCTGTTGGTGACTACTCCATCCAGGTCATTCTGATCACCTTTCATGCCGAATCCCGCCTGCACATGCACATAAAGCCAACGACAGGGGCGTGCACCACACGCACTCTCTCTCTCTGGACACAGAATCTGGAGCTTCCGCCAAGCCTGGTGTTACAGGCTGGATCGTGTCCCCTAAAATGCACATGTTGAAGCGCTCATCCCAGGGCCTCACATGACTTTATTTGGAGATAGGGTCGTGGCCGATGGGGTCAATAGGGTGGGCTCTAGCTCACTGCAACCGGCGTTCTTAAGAAAGGGGACTCTGGACGCAGACACAGATGAATGCAGGGACAACGATCCCGAGACCCAGGCAGAAGACCCGGCCGCCCAGCAGCCAGGGACACTGGCCCGGACCAGGTCCTGCCTAACTGCCCACAGAAGGACCTACGCGGACAACACCTCGTCTTGGACTTCTGGCCTCCAGAACTCTGATGCTGCATCTCTGCGGAACAGAGCGGCCTTGTTGTGCAGGCCGAGCAAACGAATCCACCTCTCAGCTCAGCCACTGCCCGGCTGCTCTCCCTTTACCACGGGGAGCGCGGTGTGCCCCGGCCACGGGGTCTCAGGGGATGCGGGGACGCGGGAGGCAACGGCCGGGGTGGCGGACAGGCGGGCCCAATTTGGCTCTCATCACGTTGCCTGCAGGAGCTTTCTGAGGGAGCTCTGCAAAGGCCGTGGCCCCCCACTGACCCCACGGGGTGTGGGTACAGGGGAATGTGTAGGGATGTGGCAGAGATCCTGGCAGCCCCAGAGCAGGTCCCTTCCTGAGAGTGATCAGGCCGCCCACCCCCCCACCCCGGGGGCAGGGACCGGGGGCAACGTGCAGGCCCCCGGGGCCCACCTGTACCCCTTGACTCACCACCCAGTCTCGGCGTGAGATCATGGTCGTGATGATCTGGTACTGGAAGTACATGGGGATGAGCATTGGCGGCCCGACTGCGGGGAGAGCAGGGGTACTTAGAGGCATCCCGTCCCAGCGCACCGGGCTGGTCAGTCAGGGGGAGCCCGGCGAGCACTGAACTGGGGGCCCAGCTCCGCAGCTCCCAGGCAGAGGCAGCGACCTGTGCCTGAGGAGGGGCTGGGAGCACACGTCCCCCTCCCCCCTGCCGCCCCCTTTCCCTACCCAGGGGCCCCCGAGTGTGGGACCCTGGGCCTCTGGGTCCTGTCTGCACCATGTGCCAGGAGCAGTTTACTCGGGATGGATGGCCCTTCCTGCTCAAACAGGCTCAGGGGCGATTCCTGGGTCTAAAGAGGTGGCAGGTGGTTGCGGGGGGAGGACAGATGGCCATTCTGGGGTGTGGTTGGAGGGCAGCCCCCAACACTCACTCAGGAGGAAGTACTTGTGCTGGTAGTTGTAAGGCAGGTATTTGAGCTTCTTCTTGCCGTACTGAGGAGAGAGAAGAGAGGGTGAGCACCCGCCCAGGCCCCCCCCGCCCGCTCGGCAGTCACCGTTCCTGTCCTGTCAGTCCACAGCCTGGGCCCTCAAGGCTGGGCCCCTCCGGCCCTCTGGCTCCTAGCTGCTCCGGCCGACACTGGCCACCATTTCCTCGGCCCCAGCTTTGTCCCATCCAGGCCTCAGCTCACGCCCTCCTCCGCCAGCCCACGAGGCTGGGGCTTCTGAAGCTGAGGCTCAGGGTCAAATCACTGCTCAAGGCCACATGAGAAATGGGCCCAGCTGGGATCTGAACCCAAGAAAGCTGACTCAGAGCCCACATGGCAGGCACCAAATAAATGTTTGTGGAGTGAATGCACAACTGAACAACTCATACGGGGTCCCACCGAGGGAGCTCCTTGGCCAGTCTCCACCCCTTTGAGAGTGAGAAAAGCTCCCGGGGCACGCTGGGGAGCTCCCCAGAGCCCGCAGGAGCCGGGAGAACACAGATTAGGGCCTGGGGAATTGTTAACAGTCACCGGGCTGGGAGCATCTACCTTCCCAGAGCCCCCTGCAACTTTCCAAAGCTAATCACTTCTCCCAGGGAGATAGTTTTTAGTTGAGGGTGCCGGCAGGCCGGGGACCCACCCAGGGTACCCTGATGCCCAGACAGTCACAGCGAGGAAGGCCGTGCTGGGGCCTGGGCATCCTCACTGCACCAAGTCGCTCAGGCCATGCTGAGCACGAGCCTGCAGGGAAGTCACTGCCCCACGGGTCCCTGGAGCCCTTCAGTGCTAGGGTCCAGCTTTCTGCAGACCAGCCCACCTTGCTCCTTGGAGACGGAGACCATAAGATGTTGCTCAGAGAGTGACCCCCGCTCTTGCTTTCGGTGCCAAGATCTGCCAGGATCACCGGTACAGATCTTTTAGCCCCCGTGCCCCCACCCCATTTGGCACCCAAATCACTGGTGGTTAAGAGGAGCCGATGAGAACACAGGCATAAACGCTGGGGGGCTGGCCCCTGGGACACTGCCCCTCACTCGCCCTTCCCCGGGTCCAGCCCTTTGCAGGTGCTCATTCCTATTTATTGTACTCAGGAGATGGAGACACGTTACGGATGGAGAGACCCCGGATGTTGGCTAAGCCAACGCCGCTGTCTGCGGGTGGGAGCGGAGAGGGTAACGACCATCAAAATCGCAGGGCGGGCCCACGACGCCTGTAAGTTGGAGCCCTGGATGGGAAAGAAGCCCAGCTTGCCCCCAGGACCGGCGTCTTGGCACCATGGCTGTGGTCATGGCCCATCTGGCCGAAGCACCACCAGAACGGACCCCTTTGTCCCGTGCGGCCTCTTGTGCCTTGGCAGGGGTCTCACTCATCCCCGGAAAGTGTGGCCATGGGCACAAGGACGGTCACTAAGGCCGGGGCTGAGGCTGGCCTTGGAGAGGTCCTAGCCAAGGAAGCTTCAAAGTAGCCTTGGAAGATTTCTCAGAGGAGGGAGTGGGGGGCACCCACTCAGTGGCCTGTCGGGGTTCCAGGGAGCATATGGCCCCGGGATCCCGCTCTAACCTCCTCCCAGGAGCCAGGAAACAGACCCACAGGCCCAGCCTCTGTGTGCAGGCTTCTCGGCCCTGAACAGGAGCCCTCCCTGCCACAGCTCTGCCCATGGGTCATCCCAGGAGGTGGCCCCAGGCCCCATGGACCCTCTCAGGCTAATTAGACTCCTGGGAAGTGAACACTAAGGGCAGCCCAGACAGGTGGGCGGACCAGAGAGTTCCCATAGAAGGACCCAGGGGCGGCTAAGCTGCTGGGGTGGGGGGAAGGGCACCAGGGGATTCATTTGAAGTTGCGTTTCCTTAGTAAGCATGCTTTCCCATTGATTTATGGTGACCTCTGGGGAGCGACAGGTCCCACGCGCTGACGCTCCCCCAGCTGCCCCTGGCCCGTGGGCACTCCTGGCCCCCACGTGGGCCCCTTCAATGCCACAGACTGTCCTGCAGGAGCTGCCGGGTCCCCGGCCTCTCTGTCAGGCCCTGGGGGCTCCCAGGCTCAGGGAGGCAGGCCCTCAGGATTCAGACACAATTCAGCATTTGAGCAAATTGCTCCACACACACCCTCCTCTGCCCCGCCATGAGCTGTGGGTCCCCGCCTCATCCAGTGGGGGTCCGATGGGCACTTCCCGGGGCTGCTGAGGGACCGGCCGATGAGGTGGGCGTCCCAGTCCTTCGGGAACAGAACGGGGAGCTGCGGTCCCAGCAACACGCACAGCTGTGTGTGGTGACACAGCGAACGGTCACTGCACGTCTGTTCCCAGCTCGGTGACCTCAGGCGGGGCAACTAACTGCAAGGCCACCTGTCGGGCTATGGCTGGCCCACAGCACCCACTTTCCTTGGAAAACCAGAGAGCACACGCTCGCTCTGACGATGCATGGCTACCTTGCTGGCTTGGCTCTCGGCCAGCGTCTAGCCCCGTAAGTCATGGGCGCAGCGAGGGCTGGAAGAGGGCTTTAGAACGTACCGAGCTGGGGGGGGGGGCTCCTGGCATCTCAATTCATCAGAAAGCTGGAGGGACCCAACAAGCCAGTTCCCTGGGGTCCAGCAGGTAGTGGCCCTGGGTAGGTTCCTGCGGGACCCAGAAGCCCCAGCTGGGAGCAAGACAGCCTGGGTTTGGGTGGTGGCACTGCCTTTTCCCGTTAGAACCTCAAGCAAGTTACTTCACGTCTCTCGGCCTTAGCCCTTCCATCCTGAAATGGGCGTGATGAGAGCCCCTGCCTCATGGTTAAGCAAAGGTGAAGTGACATCCTGCATGCCGGGCCTGGCACGGTGCTGGGTGCGCGGACTCGGTGAGAGTCTGCCCTCCTCCCCACACGTCCTCCCCTCCGGGAGAGTCCTCATCACACACAGGGAGAAAGCTCGGGTGGCTGTCATAGGTGAGGCTCGGGGAAGACAGAGGGTGCTTTCACTCGGGCAAGGCGGCTTGTTGTGGTCGAGAGATGAAAATGGTAGCAGACCAAGGGCTCCCTTTGACGCATTCCCAAGCTGTGGCTCACAGGGGATGCAAATCAGGGCGGAGGGAGGGGGGGCCCTGCCAACCCTGGTGGCCTGGTTTCCCGGAGGTCCCTGCCCCTTTGCCCAGGCTGGGCTGGCCCTCCTGTGCTCACCCTCTCCACAAACCCTGGACCAGGCTTGGATTGCAGGCTGAGTGCATGCCAGGGGCATGTGTGGGGGACTTTTCAGCTTTGGAACAAAATGTCTGAGGAATGACAAGGGCCTTCCTTGTCCCTTCAGGGTTGGGGGAAGGGAGCTGTCGCAAAGCCCAGTCCCCGCCTCTGGGAACCTGCAAACTCCCAGAGAGAAATGAGCTACATAGCCAGGCCGGGCATGCGTAGAATGGCAAGGCCCCGGTCCACGGGCCCTGACAGGAGGGCCCTGGTTGTTCCAAGGGAGGACTGGTCCCTTGGCTGGTTCACAAAGAAGCCTGGAGGGTTGGCTGCAGACAGGCAGTGGGGCAGGGAGAGCGTCCCAGATAGGTGGAAAGGCAGGATCTCCGGTGAGGAGGCGCAAATACTCCTGGCTTCCGAAAGCCCGCCTCAGTACCACAGGGATAATGGCCTCCCTGTCGCCCTCTGGGATGTGGCAGACAGATAAAGGGAGGGGCGAAGCCTGCCGCTGACTTCACCTCTATTTAATGCTGTTCTGGAAGCTCCAGAAGTAAGAGTGTGGAGCTATGAGAAAGAGTACCTTTCATTATTTTCAAGGATATAACTGTCTACCCAGGAAACTCAAAAAAGAACCAACTGAAAGACAACTAGGATCGCAGAGAGGCCTGAGCAGATGCCAGATGGACCTAAGTTACCCACCAAGTAGCAACAGCTTCCCGGAACATTGGAGAAACACCGATCCCAATAGCCAAAGTAGGAAAGATCCAGGATTGAACTGGAAAAGAAACACCCACGAGACATATAAAGAAAAGTATAAAGCTTTTCTAAGAGGGAAAAAAAAGAGGCTTGAGGAACTGGAGAAACAGGCCTTACTGCAAGATGGAAAGACAGAGTGTGAAGACGGTGACTTGTGCTAAGAGGGCTGCCGGCCAGTGATGAAGGGCCAGGGGCAGATGGAGGGCCGCCCAAGTCCCGCAGACGACGCCCCCGTGAGGCTGACCACCCAGCCCGGGCGCGGGGCTCGGGGGGGGACACTTTCCCGCACAGATGGGGCCATGCATCCTGATGGGGGTGCTGGGGAACCTGGCTGACTCCAGACAAATGAGAAGGACGGACACCAGCCTACCCACAGCACATGTGGCCAAAGTTAAATAATTCAAACGCGAAGCCACAAAACACTGAAAATAGTACGAGTGGAGAACTTTCTTGGGGTGCTTGGCTGGCTCACTTGGTAGAGCAGGCGACTCTCGATCTCGGGGTTGGAGCCCCACGTTGGGTGTAGAGACTACTTAAAAATAAAATCTTAAAAAAAAAAAAGAACTTTCTAAGCATGAAAGAAATTAAAGGAATCTGCAGGAGGGGGGAAAAAAGTGAATACCTCTTTCTACATAAAACAAACAAAATCCTCCCAGAAGTCATAAATAAGACCAGAAGGCAGAGAACTTACGAGGAAAGGGATTTCGCCACTGAGATCCCTCTCCTTAATTTCTGCCTAGCTCTTTGGAGCTGGTTTGTTTATCTGAGCCTGGAGATAAGAGAGGCCTGGCCTCCTTGCTCTGGAGGCCAGAGGCTGGCTCAACACCCCCAAGGCCTGGCCACATGGGGCCAGGTGGGTGGCCCTGGTGTGGTGTGTGGTATGTGGGGCTGGCAGGAGACAAGGCCATTGGACCCACTCCCAGGGTGGCAGCATGCTCTCGTGGACACCGGGGCACAGCTCGACCAGCAGCCCAGCGTATATCTGGCCTTTCCCCCTACACGTGTGTTAAGAGTTGAGGATTTCCACAGGGTGGTCTTTCAAATGCTACTAGCAATGGGGTAACCAGATCTCCGAAACCTCCCACCCGGCCCCAAAGCCGGCACTGAAGAGGTGTCTAGGGAGAGGAAGTGTTGGAAGAGGCTTCGCTGGCCAAGGCACAGAGCGGAGCTGGTGAGACTAGATTTCTGGTGTTAGGGACGCAGAGAACAACTGGCAGGACAGCCACCAGCTCTCCAACAGGAAGCCTCATGCAGAAAGGGAAGCCTTTGATTTCACTCAGCAGAAGGCCCCAAGTGAATCAGCTGCATTATCTGGACACCTCTAATCAAAGCTAGCAAACTGCTTCCTAGAAGAAAGAGGCAAGCAGCACGTACTTTGGAAGGGAATATAATCCCTGCCTGGCTTCCCAAGTACTGAATGTTGGCTAATTTCCTCTGCTATGGACCATGTTGCAGAAAATCCGTGTTTCTGCTCAGATATTCTCTTGGGTGGAACTGAGATGGGAAAGACAGGGTACAAACTAGAATTGGAGGGACACGCTCTCTCCTCTCCTTGTTCCAAGTCTCGGATGCCAACATTGTCGGGAATACACCACTGGTGGGAATCCGGGACCCTTCTCCTTCCTCAATGGGCCTCGCTTGAAAGATGCTTACTGAGCCCCTCCTCTGTGCCTGGCACTGGGATGCTTACGAGCTGTACAAAAGCAACAGGATCTTCTAAACTTGGGCTTACCTCATCACCGTACTTCCAAAAGGCAAAGCATAGGTAGATTTTTTTGTAAATTAAACCCTAACATAGAGGCTGTCCCATAGGGGCTCTACTTTCTAAAAAAAAAAAAGGCGTTTAAATGAGGGCATTCTTTAAAGGCATTGGGGGTGATTTTATTAAAAAGAAATAGAGAAGTAGCAACAAGTTTCCTATCTTACAAAACAGCATGGGTTACATGATGCTACAGAAATACAATGGAGCACCAGACAGACCCAGGCAAAGGCCAAATCACTTGGACTACCAGAAAGAGGTCTGTGTTTGGTAAGGCGGCAAGTTGCAGGACAGAATGTCTAAGTTTTAATTTTGGTTTTTAAAATGAGTATGTGCTGGGGTACCTGGGTGGCTCAGTCGGTTAAGTGTCTGCCTTCGGCCAGGTCGTGATCTCAGGGTCCTGGGATGGAGCCCCGCGTTGGGCTCCCTGCTCAGCCGGGGGTCTGCTTCTCCCTCTCACTCGGCCCCTCCCCCCTGCTCATTCTCCCTCTCTCTCTCAAATAAATAAATAAAATCTTTAAAAATAAATAAATAAATACAAAATGAATGTGCATATGAATATGCACATACAAGAAATCTGGAAGGAGGGTGCCTTGGGTGGCTCAGTTGGTTAAGCGACTGCCTTCGGCTCAGGTCATGATCCTGGAGTCCCGGGATCGAGTCCCACATCGGGCTCCCTGCTCAGCGGGGGGTCTGCTTCTCCCTCTGACCCTCTTCCCTCTCGTGCTCTGTCTCTCATTCTCTCTCTCAAATAAATAAATAAAATCTTTAAAAAAAAAAAAGAAATCTGGAAGGATTTATGTACCATGTTTTCATCAGTGGCTATCCTCAAGGGTAAGATCTTTGGGGCAAAGGGGGATGATGGAGGTAATAGGAGATTCACTTTGTGATTTTGTGTATTTCTAGTAATATTTAACTGCTTGTCACAGGTAAATTCTATATTTCTACTAAAAATTGAACTAACAGAAAAATAAGGCAATGTGCTAGAGCAGAAGGAAATGACCTCACTCTCAGATCCAGGGCCTCATCCTAGACTAGCCACTAAATTATAGGATCCTGAACACATCCCCTCCTTCCCCGGAGCCTCCCTTTGTCACATCTGGTGAAGCAGGTTGGACCAGACTACGCTGAGGTCCCTCTCAGCATCGAGGACTGCGACTCTCCCAATCAGGTTTCCTTGAGCTGGTGTTTGGGGACCACGCTCGAGCCCCGGACCTGTGCCTGCCTGCTGAACTGGGACCAGAGTTCCCTGGCCCCCAGGAAGAAACAAGCCTGGAAATGTTCTTCCCCAACCCATGGGAGGGAGAGAGGCCTCTAACGCTGATAAGGAGCTGGTTCATTATTCATACATGAGGCCATTCCATCGAAATTCCAGCTTGAATAATTCAGGGCGTCCAGGAAGGGTTTCCAAGTAAACATCAGGGGCAGATGTGTTTGGACGGCTATCCAACCTCCAGGACTCCTTCTCTGGTTTCAGCTCAGGTCAAACACTTCCCACATCAACACTGACCCTTCATCATACCTCAACGGGCTGCGATTCGCCCAGGACGAGCACGTGCAGCATGTTCACATCGGGATCCTTGCCGAAGATGTTGGGCTTGGCGTGATGTTGGAAGTGGCGATGGTTCCACCAGTTGGCGGAGGCACCCTGGGGGGGGAAATGGGGTGAGCAGCACCGAGACTCAGAACCAACTTCGCCATCACACCCGGGGCCTCGGGCCCCCGAGCCTCCGAAAACAGCCCTGCCAGTACTGAGTCCAGAGTGCCGGCCAGCCCTGAGGCCAGGACTTGTGAATGGAGCCAAGCCAGGCCGTCCCTCCATGTTTCCCCATCCCCCACAGCAACGGCGGCGAGGCCAGCTGTTGCCAGGGTGCATGGCGAGCACCTGGGCTGGTGTGGGGCAGCCTCTTGCCCTCTGCCAGCACCAGGTGTGAGCCCCCACACCCCTCAGCCTCCGCACGTCCCCCGAGTGCCGTGTTATACAAGGAGAAACACTTCTGTTTCAGGAACGGTAAGAGGGGGTCTCTACTACATGGCCCAGGATTCTACTCCTAGGTGTGTACCCAAGAGAAATGAAAACATGGCCACGCAAAATCGTACAGCAACATTCCCATTACTCAAAATGACCAACAGGTGGAAACTGTGTGGCCATACCACAGAAAGGTGGGAAGCACCTGCTACAACGTGGACGAAACTTGAAAACATCCTGCTGAGTGAACGAAGCCAGACACAAAGGACCACATACGTGATTCCATTTATAGGAAATGTCCAGACTAGAGAATCTAGAGATAGAAAGGTTAGTGGCTGCCCAGGGTTAGGGTTGGGGACGCGTGGGAGGGATGAGGGGCTTAGGAGGCGGCAGCTAAGAGGTGTGAGGTTTCTTTTGGGGATGATGAAGATGTTCCCAAGTCGATTGTGATGATGGTTGCATAAATCTGTGAATATTCTATAAGCAGTTGGCAAGAGACAGCCCAACAGCCCGATCAGTTGCTGCCCTGAGCGGTGAGGACTCAGTGAGGTCCCACCCGGAAGGCCAAAGGAAGGCTTAATAAGCCATCGCTAACAGGAACAGGGAAGAGCTCCCAGGTTCTAACATGAAAATATAAAACCACAATTCTAGGAGACAGGAAGCATTGCCTAAGTATTTATTTCAAAGTCACAAAGCTCTGTCTCACCAACTCAAGCTCTCGACACAGTTTGGAGGCATGCCTCTCCCCACAGTTGCCCTGTGGCCCATAGAAGGAAATGGGACCCTTCCAACTCCTCACTCTTTACTGGTGAACTACTGCTGGATCAATCAACCCTTGGGCCCAGGGTCTGGCCATCCACAAGAAGGACTAACTGCTAAAACAAATATTTTACTTGGAAGATCCTTTTGGCACAAACAAGGTCTCTGGACACGGAGAGGCCTGCGCGGGCACAAGTTTGGCCTTTGCCTGTAAGCACGTGGGTCTCAAAACCCATCAAAGCGGGAAAAAAAATGTCAGTGAGTGAGGGCTCAGAGGACTGAGGACTCAGATGACACGTTCACCTTTCCAGCCGGAAGGAACCCCACTCCTGGGAAAGGTCACATGGAAAGTCCCCAGCACAAAGACATTGAGGAGCAAGTCATGTTAAGAGTGGGCAGATGTTTAGAATACACCGACCCAGGGATGTTTGTGGAATAAATGAAGGAAGGAAAGAGAGATGAGCTGTGAACACCCCGGCGACGAGTCAGCGAAGGGAGTTCTCTTCCATTTCCATTCTTCACTAGGCAGAGCCCTACTTAGTCTTCCCACCCAGAAGCCCTGCCTGCCCTGGGATGAGGAGCAGCCCTGCGGATGAAGCGGCGATCCAGAGGCAAGCCCTTGGCCTGGCAAGGGAGAGTAGGGCACCCCAACACACTGAGATGGGGCGGGGAAAGACAAGCAAAACTGGGGGAGGGGAGGGGGCCAGGCAGAGTGAGAGTGAGGGGTGCCTTCCTGACAGAGGGAAGAGGTTGGGCGAGGTCCCCTTGGTTGAGCCGAAAACCCAGGATCGCAGCCAGAAGTCCTGGGCTAAACCCTATCAGAGCCTGAGGGAAATCGAAAAATGTGTACTCCTGGCTTGAATGGTCACAAAGACATCAACAACAGTTTCCGAATCGACTTTTTAGTTTGTCTCATTTTCAAATGAGAGAATTGCCAAGTTGGAGGACTTTTCTCCACCAAGTGACAATCTTAATTCAAAAATTAAAAAAAAAAAATTTTTTTTTAGGGCGGGAGGGGCAGGGGGAAAGGGAGAGAGAGACTCTCAAGCAGACTCCCCACCCAGCACGGAGCCCAACATGGGACTCAATCTCCTGATCCTGAGATCATGACCTGAGCTGAAACCAAGAGTCAGATGCTTAACCGACTAAGCCATCCAGGCGCCCCTTAAATAATTTTTAACTAATTTAAACCAAAGCAAAATAATAATAAGTTCTGTTTTGGTACAAATAATATACTTTCCCTTAATGTTGGGACCTTTAATACGTCCAGCTTCCCAACTCTTAAATATTTCTCAACTACTTTAATGTTCTGAGGAAAAAGACCAACTAACCATTAAAAAAAGAATACATACAAACACGTATATAGGGTCACAGATTTTTTCCTTTTGCCTCAGGTTCCAATATGGCCCAGCACAGTCCTGATCTTTATTTAAAATGTTGCTATTTTGTTCACTGTAGATTTTCCTTGGCCTTAATGTTGTTTTTTAAAACCTATGTTAAAATGTTCTTCATCTTGATTACTGAGCCCTTTAGTGTCCCCTTAAATTTTGTGCCCGAGGCAAGTACCTCACTTGCCTCGCCCTAGTCCTGGCCCTGGTGGCCTGAGATGATGTAGTGGAAAAGTTGGCGGTCTCCTGGTCTCCGTCTCCAGATGCGGAGTCTGGAGGGTGCTGGCCTTGCCGTGTGCATTTTATCCTAAGTGCAATGCCGAACACTTAAAGGGTTTTTTTTTTTTTTTTTTTTTTTTAAAGATTTTATTTATTTATTTGAGAGAGAATGAGAGACAGAGAGCATGAGAGGGAGGAGGGTCAGAGGGAGAAGCAGGCTCCCAAGGAGCAGGGAGCCCGATGCGGGACTCGATCCCGGGACTCCAGGATCATGACCTGAGCCGAAGGCAGTCGCTTAACCAACTGAGCCACCCAGGCGCCCCACTTAAAGGGTTTTTAACAGAGGTGTGATGACTCAGAACTCTTTGTACAAGACCATCCTCTGAAAGACCTGTCCGCCGGAATAGCCCGCAAGTCGGGATGGGGAGAGCCCACTCTGGAATCCCGCAGCTGCTCAGGCTGCTGGTAGGAAGCAGGTCCCAGCCCCTCGAGGCGCCTGGCACCCCGTTCTCTGCTCCACACCAACTTGTGCTATAGGATGCTCGAGGTGGCAGGGCACCTGGGGACCTCCCTGCAGCCAGCCCCCTTTTTTCTCAGCAAAGGGAAACCAAGAGAGCAGATGGATCTACAAGACTCGTCTGCAGCCATGTGACTATGGGGTGCCAGACTGGGTTTCAGCCAAGCTGTGAGGCCCCAGGCTCTGGGGCACCCTGGGGTGAGCTGCATAACTGCGCCCCCCCGGCCTACACATGGCAAGAAGGACACAGCAAAGCAGAGAACTGGCCAGCCATGAGTGCAGCCCCCGTCTCTGACCTCTAACCTCCGGGCCCAAGTACCCCATCTTCCCCCTATCCCAGAGTTCTGATGTCATTAACCCACGTTCTCCATGGAGGCCAGTCCTCTGTCTTGGCCTCGTCCTCCGTCTGACACGAGAGCTGCGCTCCAAGGCCCTGCAAAAACTGAGGGACGGGAGGCAGGAAAGGTCCTCCCGGCTCCCACCCAGAATCTGGATACAGGACACAGCCCATCTTTGTTAAGCGGGTGGGGATAACGTGGGTTGGGAGTGAGATGTTACTTTCCAATACTGAGGAGGGTTTTATCCAGCAGACAAGAGTATGAAATGAAACAAAGCGCTCTACTATGCACACCCGCTCCCTTCAGCCCTGAATTTCTGGACAGAAACCAGGTTCTCAGGCCGCCTCAGGGTCAGGGCCAGGCAAGCTGCGAGGGAACTGGTTCCTAGTTCAGCGCTGGTTCACCCCCAACCAGATCCGGGGCCCGAAAGCCATGGGCTCTCCGCGGTCTGGGTCGCGGGGGGATATTCTTAACCCAGACAGGTAGCTCTTCCCAAGCCAGAGTGAGGCGGGGTGGGATTCTGTAGGACCCAGCCTTTCTTAGGAAGCAGCTGGGTGCTTCTGGGAAAGGGCTGAGTGGGGGATGATCTGTTTCAGAACGAGCCAGCAAGGACTTATTTCCAAAACCAAGGAGATAAGCCAATCGGACGAGTCCAAGGTCGCTGGCAAGTCCAGCCTGTCTTCTGACGAACTTGCCTCGCTGTAACGCTTTGCGGGGCAACCTCCTCAGCGGCAGGAGGGAGAGACAGGAACTATTTCCCCACGAGCCTTAAATACAACTCTGGTCCTCTGGCTCAGCTGATCACTGTGCTCTTTCATGTCCCTTATTGTCACTTCCGTGACAATATCTCTCTTTCAGACTAAGAGGGACATATTAGAAAAGTTTTTAGATAACTAGTAAGCAATATTATCAATATCATGAACTGAGTCAATGTACAAAGGCAGCGCGTGCCTGTCCTCATAACCAGCACGCTGCTTTTGCTGGTTGATTTGATACGGAGACAGGCCTGGGAAGGTCAGAGGAGGGGAGGATTCGAGAAACCCAGCAGGGAGGCCTGGCTCCCCGGCGCACCCGCGGTGTTACCCTGCGGCCACAGACACTGACCCGAGAGGAGACTTGGCCCCAGGCAAAGTAAGCCAGGGCCGAGCCAGCCGCTAATTGATGGGCAGATGCCCAGGGCTGCCAGTATTTACCTTTAAATGGCCAATGATGAACTTGTGGACAACGTGGTTCCACGCGGACTTCTTGAAGACAGACAGGTGGCCATAATCGTGTTGCAGCCATCCAGCTTGGGCCTGGGGAAAGAGATGCTTTCACAGAGCCAGCTTCCAAGCGTCCCCGGCCTCTGTGAGCTAAGGGGGTGGGGGGGTTAGGGTGGGGGCTTTAGGCGTCTGGTGAGGGCGCCCCACCTCACCTGAGAGGTAGCAAGGACAAAGGCCGTGATGATGGTTGGAATCCAGCCATTGCCAAAGTAAAAGATGATGAACCAAGCAATGCTCTCCATGACGATGATGTGGGCCAGGAGAAGGAGGAAGAACAGGTGGTTACTCTTGAACAGGTTCATGTCCTCGGCGGCCTTCCTCAGGGCCCGGAAGTCCTCGGTGATCTGGGGCTGTTGAGCAAGGGCACAGGGCAAGTGTCGGCCACCTAGCTGCACCGGAGGGGACCAACGTCTTCTTGCCAGAAGCGGTGGCAAGAGGGGCCACTCCACAGGCCCGTGACCCGAGGGAGCCCGGCCCCCGCGCATCATGCCCGCCACACCTGCCTGGGCCTCCATAGCCCTGAGGACTGCAAATTTGGCCCCAGCCAGGTAGGTGGCAGAGAAAGGATTCGACTCAAAAGCCGGTGTTTTTTCGTTCACAGTGGCATTACTCCCAAGGCACGAGGCAGAAACAACCCAACTGGCCATCAATGGATGCATGGCTAAAGAGAATGTGGTCTATCCGCACAATGGAATACTATTCAGCCTCGAAGAGGAAGGAGAGTCCGACTCCCGTTACCGCAGGGATGAACCTTGCAGACCCCGTGCTCTGTGAAATTAAGCCAGACACCACAGGACAAATACTGTATGATCCCATGTACCCGAGCTACCCAGAGCAGGCAAATCACAGACAGGAAGTGGAGTAGTGTTTACTGGGGCTGCAGGGAGGGGGGATGTTTAATGGGGAGTTAATGTTTAATGGGGACAGTTATAATTTGGGGTGATGAATAAGTTCTGGAAGTGGATGGTGGTAAAGGTTGCATAACAATGTGAATGTGCTCCCAAGCCACTGAACTATGCATCTAAAACTGGCTAAAATGGTAAAATTTGTGCTCTGTATACCACACACACACACACAGCTCGCACTTTTCCACTACCCACCCCTGCCCCCACTTGCTCTGGGCACTCTGTCGAGGGGGTTGTGGTGGGGGACATAAGACTGCCAGACGACATCCCTGCCCCTAGAGAGCTCAGGGAGGCGGGACCACTGGGTGGGCCTTGGGGGATGCGGGGCTGGGGAGGCCAAGGTGGAGTCGGGGGCAGCTCTGGAGACATGAGCACGGCTGGGAGAAAGAAAGCAGCTGGGAGGCAGGGGTCAGGCAGGTGGGGGGAAGAGGGCGCTTTGAAAGGGTAGACAGGGTGCCATGTGGGTGGAGGAAGCCAGGTTTGGGAGCCCGGGTGATAAGTGGCAAAGGATCTTGAAGAGTGGTGAACACCCGTTTAAGTAGGAAAAGTGGGGAAACCAGGTAGGGGCCAAAGAAGGCAGGGTCAGGAAGGAGGAAGCCCACAGGACACCGAAGAGAGGAGAGAAGCTGCCTGCCTACAGGGGGGCTGGGGAGGGCGGAGGATGGAGCCATGGGTGAAGGAAACAGGATGGAAACCCAGGTCAGCTCTAGGGAGGGATGAAGACAATTTCCCCCTTCAGCCCTGGGGAGAAAGGGAGGGGCAGAGATGGGGAGAGCCAGGGGGAGGGGCACATGGAATGGGCTGGATTTCCCAGGGAAGGAGAAAGAGAAAACGGTGGGAGAACTGGACCAGAAGAGAAGACCCTGGGCCCAGCCTAACTCTATTGACACCACGGACATGAAGAGGCTGGGAAAGAATCACTCCAAGGTAAGGGGCCAGCCTAGGCCGGCAGCAAGAGGAAGAGGCTCACTGCAGAATCTCAAGAGTCCTGCCTAACCCCAGGCATTGGGCGGTGGCTCCCCTGGACTGGCATTAAGGTCCCTTGGCCCACACCTGGCACTCTGTCTTTAGGCGGGCACCCCTTCTCCCTGCAAACCCTCCCCTCCTTCCTTGGTCTGGGCACACTCACGTTCTTGCCACGGTCCTGGCTGGGCTCCTCTGGAGCCAGCTCTCCAATCAGCAGAGGCTTCATGAACTTGCGCACGAAATCAAGGTCACGGTGGAAGGCGAGGAAGGCATCCTAGGGAGCAGGGAAGCAGGTGGTAAGTGGGAGACCTCAACCCAGGGAGGGCAGGGCTCACCAGCAGCCGCTCTCCATGTCCCCACTTGGGACACCGATTGAGGCCTCCCGGGACCTGGCGCCAAATGCTCTCTCCTGCCTCATCTCGGCGGATCCCGGTGCCCGGCCAAACCGGCGCTACCCCTGGATCTCCACCCTCAGCTCACCAAGGGTGTGTGCAGACATTCAGGATGCCTCCGGGCGAGTCAGAAAAATGTACCCCTGCAGGGAGATGCACGGACTGGGCAGGGCAGGGCACCCAGGAAACCACACGACCTGCCACCCCATGCACATGGTTTACAGCGAAAAGCACAGGGCTGGAGCCCACTACAGCACAGAAAATGTGCTTGGGAGATCATGTCAAGCCAAAACCAAATACAAAACTAGGTAAAAAACATGTCTGAAAAAAGCTTTTTTCATAATTAGAAAAAGCATGAAAATAATTACGAAAAAGATAAAGCCCTAAACAGTAATGTGTTAAAATAGCGGCATTATGCCTTGCTTTATTTTATTACTTCTCAAACTTTCTCTGACACTGCTATATTACTGCTTTTAAAATTTTAAAAATAGGGGCGCCTGAGTGGCTCAGTCGGTTAAGCATCTGCCTTCAGTTCAGGTCATGATCCCAGGGTCCTGAGATCGAACCCCATGTCGGGGCTCCCTGCTGGGCAGGGAGTCTGCTTCTCCCTCTGCCCCTCCCCCCTGCTCATGCTTGCTCTCTCTCTCGAATAAATAAAATCTTTAAAAAATATTTATTTAAAATATTATATAATAATATTATTATTGTAGGGGGGCCTGGGTGGCTCAGTTGGTTGGGCATCGGCCTTTGGCTCAGGTCATGATCTCGGGGTTCTGGGATTGAGCCCCACATCGGGCTCCCTGCTCTGTGGGGCGTCTGCTTCTCCTTTTCCCTCTGCCTGCTGCTCCCCATGTTTGTACTCTCTCTCTGTCAAATAAATAAATAAATAATCTTAAAAAAATTATTATTGTAATTCCAATTACAAAGTTATAATGTGCTCGATTTGGGCAAATTTAGAGAATGTACAGAAGAATGAAGAGGAAAATAAATACCACCCAGAGAGCGACCACCGTTGCTAATATTTTAGCTTGTTTCTCTCCAGATTCTTTTCTTTTCTTTTTCTTTTTTTAAAAGGTTTTATTTATTTATTTGAGACAGAGAGAATGAGACAGAGAGCACATGAGAGGGGGGAGGGTCAGAGGGAGAAGCAGACTCCCTGCCGAGCAGGGAGCCCGATGCGGGACTCGATCCAGGGACTCGATCCAGGGACTTGATCCCGGGACTCCAAGATCATGACCTGAGCCGAAGGCAGTCGCTTAACCAACTGAGCCACCCAGGCGCCCTCTCCAGATTCTTTTCTATATGCGTTATGTAAATTATTACATAAATCGTCTCATAACCAACATGGCATTTCCATTAGGCATCATGGGCTACGATATGATGACTCAGTGGCAAACATTTTCCCAGCAGTAAGCCGAACTTTCACACATTGCAGGGCAGAGGACTAAGTCAAATGACACCACGAGAAACCATGAGAAACATCAACGTAGTTGGGGGTGGGAAGTGTGTGTGTGTGTGTGTGTTGGGAGGGGGTGTTTAGCTTTTAAAAAACTGAAAAAGATAAAACAAAAAAGATTATAAAAAAGGCAATGCTTGGGGCACCTGGGTGGCTCAGTTGGTTAAGCAACTGCCTTCGGCTCAGGCCATGATCCTGGAGTCCCGGGATCGAGTCCCACATCCGGGTCCTTGCTCAGCGGGGGGTCTGCTTCTCCCTCTGCCCTCTTCCCTCTCGTGCTCTCTGTCTCTCATTCTCTCTCTCTCAAATAAAAATAAATAAAAAAATCTTAAAAAAAAAAAAAGGCAATGCTTGATTTGAAAGGCTCCTATTTGGAGGGGGAAAATAAATAAAGACCCAGCCGTTCCACAGGACATTTTTGGGGTTGAATGAGAAAATTTGAATATGGACCACATATCTGGTCATAGGAAGGACTTACTATTCATTTACTTAATCGCAAAGAAGGTTTTGTGATGATGTTAGACCATGTCCCCATTCTTAGGAGCAGGTGGTGAAGAACTGAGGGACGAGGTGGCTCATTTCTCAGCCAGCACCCGCTGCCCTCCCCCACCCCACCCCCCAGGTCCAGGTCATGCCCTCAAGCCCCCACCTGGGCTGGGGAACTTGGTGGAGCAGACAGACAGACAGACAGACTCCTGTCCTGACCCAGGCCATTCCTTGGCCATTTCCAGAGGGCTCTCGGGTGGCCTCTCACCCCCCCCAAGTGACAGGGAGGGAGCCAGGAGCCTTGTTTACGCTCCCTCCCCGAAGGCTGAGCACCCTGTTGTATAGATGAAGACACCGGAGCACAAGAAGGGGACATCCTCTGCTCCAAGCACAGAGCCAGGATCAAACCCAGGTTCACCTGACTCAGGGACCGATGCACCACATCCCTCCTGCCCGTCGAGGAAGCCAAGTGCCGTTAGATTGTCTGGCCGTCCCTGGTGGATCTGACGGCTTTCTGAGCAGACCAGATGAAGACCACCTGTGAACCCACCAAACTCATGCTAATGCCAGGGCCTTCGCACGGCACTTCCTCCTGCCTGGGACCCCTGCTCCCGTGGTGCCCCGTGGCCTGCTTTTCCCAACCAGCCCTCAGCCCCACACTCTCTCTTGGACATTGCCCTGTTTTGCCTTCTTCATAACAGTTACAAATTCACAAGCTGTATTACTTCCATATATGTCATTCTCCCCCCCGCGAGACTATGGTGAGCTCCACAAGGGAAGGGCCACAGCCGTCTTGTTCACTGCAACCCCAAGGCTTATGACCACGCTTAAGAGGGGCTCACAAGTGAGTGTGAGGGCCCAGGATCCCACAGCTCTGCCACCTCGAACCCCAGGAAACTTTCCCACTCTGCAGTCATGTTCAGACCCTTCTCGCGCTGTTCTGTGCAACTGGCTCATGCTTCTAAGACACCAGAACTCTTCACCCTCTCCCGCCCCAGTCTGGTGGTTGCAGAGTCGCCACATGCTGAGACATGTAGGCTAGCCACTGAGCTACACTTAGGTGCATGTAAGCGCTAACCTTTACCAAACTCTAAGGCAGGTCCTATTTTATTTTATTTTATTTTATTTTATTTATTTATTTATTTTAAAAGATTTTATTTATTTATTTGAGACAGAGAGAATGGGAGAGAGCACATGAGAGGGAGGAGGGTCAGAGGGAGAAGCAGACTCCCTGCCGAGCAGGGAGCCCGATGCGGGACTCGATCCCGGGACTCCAGGATCATGACCTGAGCCGAAGGCAGTCGCTTAACCAACTGAGCCACCCAGGCGCCCAAGCAGGTCCTATTTTAGAGACAAGAAAAGAGACTGAGGGAGGCGAAGCTGGAGCCTGCAGTCACATTGCAGGCGTGCCTACTTCTAGAGTTTTCCAAAGCTCATACACACGCCTCAATCAAAACACGCTTCCTCCCCGCTGAGAGTTGAGCACTTTTTGTGTCTTCCCCTTCAAAGTGTCACGGAGGGACCTCACACTCCTACAGAAGGTTCCCAGTAACTGTTGGGTTATAGAAGGGTCTGGCTGGTGCTAGGGACGTCACCAGGCAAGGCAAGAAGGGGCCAATCCAAACGTTGACTTTGGGAACAAGAATTGGAACCAGAATCTGTTCTCACTTGTCAGGAAGAGAAGCCAACGGCTTTCCAGGAGGGCCTGAGACAAAGGTGAAGAGAAAAGAGCAGCAACAGCTTGAGAGCAGACCGGACCTGTCCTCAGGCGGGCAGGTGTGTGGGCTGCAGGGTGGGGAGGGCAGGCTGCGGGAGGAAGGGCCAGAGATTCCAAAATGGAAGACACCGTATGCCGCGCACTTCTGCTTCCGCCACCCCCCAGCGCCAACGCCAGCCAACTTCTGCATGAAGACACCTTCCCTGGCCCAACTCCACTCAGGGTAGAGCTGGTGGCTCCTACCACACCGAGGGTTGGGGGCCATGATTTGTTTCCGGCTGTGCCCACCTTCTCTGCAGAGCAGAGCTAGTCTCCAGGCCAGCCTCATACACCTGGGCACTGAGCCTGGACCCAGGAAACACGGGAGGAGCAAACTCAGGGCATTCCATGTCGCAGGTAGCAGCCCTGGGGACCGGGACTCCGCAGGACAAGGGGTTAAAGAGGGAGAAGCTGAGGAAGTACCCTGGGTTCTCAGCTAGAGACAGAGTCACTGACGCCCTTCCCACGGTGGAGCCCCTGGACCGTGGCGCATCCCAGGGAAAGGAAGAGGCTGTTGCCCGAGCTCTGTGACCAGAGCACCCTCAGTGAGAGCATCTCAGCTGATGTCTGGCACACGCAAGGCCCCGGGGTGGGAAGGGCACATCTACACAGAAGGTAGGCGCAAGTGACAGCAGAGGAAACCCACGGGGCCTGAGAGGATTCTCACAAAGGGTAAGCAATGGGAGGATGCTTCGCTGGGTGCTTGCCTGAGGCTGCGGTCGGCGGGGGCCAGCCTGCCCTGCCCAGATTCAGCTCAGGAGGTACAGCTGCCTTCTGGGCAAAAACAGAGGAGCGATTTCATGCGCTGTCAACACACCTTTGCCTCTGGTGAAAATGGGGACACTCAACATTTCTTCACACTCTGTTGGTGGTCTACTTAACTGCCTACTCTGGGTGCTGGGGACATGCACATACATGCACAGGAGGCTAAGGGACACCCAGTAAGGATCCCTCACACCTGTAGGGCGTCCTGAGGGTGAAAGAGTGAAGTTATGCCCAGCCCATTGGAAGGCAACAACCTCCCATTTCACAGACGTGTGAAAGCAAAGTTCACAGGAAATGCCTCGCTTAGGAATTCCTAAAGCAGGGATGCAAGCCTAGGTCCTCTGACTCCGAATACCACCACCCTCCTGCCCTGTCTAAAGGAGGTCAGAGATCGTGCCATTTTCAATCCGTTGCCTTTTCATAAGAACAACATAGGAGCAGGTTCACCAATGGAAAGAACCCTGACCACTTCTTGCCTTCCCTGGGTTCTAAGAGGCGACTGATGCAGATGGGGCAGGAAAAGCTGGAGACAAGGCAGGAGGTGGGGAGCTGGTGCCTAGAAGGAGAGGGTCCAGCGTCAAGTCCCAGCTTGAGAGGAAGGGAGAGAAACAAACCCACCAGATGTGGTCATTGTCTGAATTGTTCATCTTAATGCCCGGGGCCCAGCTCAGAGCCGAGGAGACACCGAATAAATGTGTGATGAATTGCAGCTGAAGATTAAAAGCCCCAAGTGGGGAAAGTTCTGCAGTGGTGGGTGGTGGGCCTCTGCCTTGAAGAGCAGACATCCTTGGGACTCGGGGGGTTCCTTTTCCCACAGCAAGGTGGAGAGCAAAGGAGTGCCAGAGGGCAGGGGAGGTGGAATAGGAAGGGAGAGACGGAGAGAGGTGGGCCTAGAGGACTCCGTAATGACAGATCTTGAGCTTAGGGGCTGAGTGCTACCACTGGAGCAAGATTTTCAAACTTGAGCAAGGTTTTCAAACCTAAGAGCAATGAGAGATACCTACAGGTCTGATCCGAGGGCCAGCTGCACTAACATGCATGAATGTGCTCTGTGAGTTGCAAAAATTAAGCACCTGTATTCTTACAGGCAAGGCCAAATTCTTCCTTCTGCAGAAGCACCAAATGACAACTGCCCTTGGCTAGGTCACCCTTTGGGGAAGAGGTGATCTTGACTTCTGAGGCCCTTTCTTCAGAAACAGGAAAATCCCTTATAGAGGCCCTGAATTGTCCCAAGAATGGCTTCTTGGACTTTCGGCCTCTTCGGAGGATGTTACTGCACCACGATCGGCTCAAAACAGTGCGCTGAGTGCTCCAGGGGATCCGAAATGTTATCTGCTGACCCGTCCCTCCCCAACTTGCATGGCCCTAATACTCTGTCTGTCGCAAGCTCTAAGGAAGAAGTCTGTGCTCTGAGGGGCAAAGCCACCGCTCAACAGCCCAAGACCAAGGGTCTCTTGATTCCTAGCCTATTCCTACCTCCCAGAATCCTCTTCCTATACACCCCGTGCTGCCCTTTCCCCACCCTGGTCGCAGGCAACGAAGAGAGGAGAACCCAGTTGCCCACTCCACGTTACACCACTAAATCTCTAAATCCCCACTTAGAACATGCCAGGCCCTAAAAGCCTCATCTTAGAAGGCGGTATGCTTCGAGGATAAGGATTTCGCAATGCGTTAACACAACACATAAAACTGGAGTAGATTTCAACATTTTTTTAACCTAATTCCTTGTTGCTTACTTTACATAATCCTCATCTTCTCTCACTTGCCTGACCAGTGACAAGAAGCAAGATTTCTAGTGCTTACTCACAGCTTACGAAGCGCTTCGCCGCACAGTATATATTTTTCCACATAAGAGAATATAGTTAATGGTGGGACGACCTCGACCAGGAGGCAGGTCTTTTATTTGAGAATCGCCCTTACCCAGCTCCTGCACACAGGGGCGGGAAGGGCCACGTGACATAACACAGATGGTCTGAAAACCTTATGCCCACTAAGTTATGATTAGCGGCACGGCCCCCAGGGCTGAAGCAGTGTTGACAAGCAGGTAAAACCGGACGGGCCCAAAAGCTGTAGGCACCATCTCTTGTTGACCATCTTCTTGAGCTCACATGTATGCCCGGACCCTGCTCCCCAAAGCCATAAGCCATTCACAGCCTAGATTATAACTGCCTGGGTAGGCCTATCCCAAGGAGACTTGGAAAAGGTAGGGAGATCAAAAGTTCCACGGACTGACAGGGGCCCAGACAGCTAGGACAGCAAAAGCCCCCAACTGGTCAGCATGCTAGGCGTCCAGGTGCCACAATCTAGCTATCTCTCCCGATCTAGCTATCTCTCCTGTGGCCTCTCCCCTATTCACCCTTCCCAAGTAGCCTCTGACTCGCTGCCGCCGAGAGGCCCCTTTCTTCCCTCCTTGACTCTCTTGGGTTCCCTCTCTGCCACTGGAGTTCCTCTGGGCTCCAGCAGCATTCTAAAGAAATGCAAGGATTGCAGACTCGGGGATCAGGAGGTGCCAAAGGGACAGCCACACCTCTGGTGTGGGTAAGATGGGCCGCTCTGGCTCTGGGCCCAATAGCTTGGGCTCCCAATACCTTTGGGAGTGCAGATGAGGGAAGGGCATTCCTGGCAGGATTTAGAGACAGAGGACCATTCAGTAGTTGAGAAGTCTGAGAGTAACCCTGGCCCAGCTGGACCTGTTGCCAAACCAGCGTAGGGCTGCTAAATCCACACTGCTCCCAGCCCCTCTCGACCTGGGCTCGGCCAACTCTCCTTCCAATTCCCGACCCCGGTGCCCAAGAACCGACCCTTTAGGGGGTGGGTCCTGGTAGTCCTTGCAAGCCTGAGAACAGGAGCTCCCGGGGCGGTCTCTCCGTGGCAGCCATTGCGGACCTTCTCAGAGCAGGAGCAAGCCCGGCGGGGACAGGCCTTTTCCTTCCTCACCCCCTACTCTGGCTGGAGAGTGAGGGACGTGCGCTGAATCCCACACCTGGCTCCTCTCCCGCTCCGATCCTCGGCGCCCAGAAGCGGCCATCTTCCGAGCTGGGGATGCCAAACTCCTAGGGCCCGAGGGCCCCCTTTGGGGAGTACCTGGCTCCTTGTGAACCCGGCGGAAGGACGGGGGAGGCGTGTGTCCTTAGCGCGCTCGGTAGACCCGGTTCCCCACCGCTTGGATCTCCACCGCGCCGCTGCCTCCCGGGTTCCAAAATCCGACCCCCATAGCCAGGTGGCCCCGCTGTCCTAAAGGATGAGGATTTGGGGCGGAGAACGAGCGCAGTAGGCACACTTTCCTTGCCTCCTGGACGCTGCATTCAGCGCTGAAGGTCTGGTTTGGAGCCCCGGGATCCCTGGCTCCTGACTCCCGCCTGCAGAAGAGAAAGGCGGCAGGAGAGCCCCCACACCCTTACCGTAGCATCCTCCCCCGCGTAGTGCCCGATGACCCGCTGGCCCCCTGGGTGCCGGCTGGACCATTTGGTGATGTTGTAGACCTTGCGGTCGACGACGAGCCACTTGTCCGTGAGCAGGTTGTGCTTCTGAATCTCCTCCCAGCTGAAGGTGGCCATGGGCGCCTCGCGCTCGGTGGCCTCCTCGCCCTGGTTCCCCCCTTTCCCCATGCTGCCTGCTGACCGGGATGCCCCGTGCACTGTGGCCTCCACGCCCGCAGCTCGAGTGTGCGGCCCGGGCCCTCCTCCCTTTCGGCTTTTGTCTTCTCCTACTCCTCCTCCCGCCGCGCCCTTCCCCCAGCCTCCTTGCCCGCGCTCGGGAGTCACCCCTGCCTTCCCTCTGACTATCCCCGGCTACCCAGTGCCCCCAAGCGGTGTCTTTGCTCCGCCCCGCCCTCCGCCCGCCAGCCCGCAGTGGACTTCTGCCTCCAGGAGAAACTCCGGGGTCGTTCAGGACCCGGACGCCTCTTGCGCCCGCCCCTCCGGCTCCCCCCGCCCGCGGCTCCGCATCCTCCCGCGTTCCCCGCCGCCCTGGTTTCCACAGTGATCAGCAGAGCGCCTGCACCAATCCGGGCGCGTCGCCCCGCCTGCCATTGGCCCAGGAGGATCTTTCGAAGGCCAGCGGGCTGGAGCGGTGGTCCCCGGCTCCCCCGCCCGCGCGCCGGCCGCTACGTGTCCGACCGCCCCCGCCCCTTGCGCTCCAGCCCCGGGCGCCGGAGGAGATCCCAGAGGAGCCGGGCGGGCGGGGGCGGCGAGAGGGGGCGGTTGCTGGGCGCGTCCGCGCTCGGCCCGCGCTCCCGGGCTCTGCACCTGACGCGGGCGCCCTCCCGGCCTGGCCCGGCCGGGGCTGGGTGACGCCCTTCCCGGCCCGCTGGGCTCGGGAGTCCATTATCTCCGCCCTGCCCGCGCTCTCCACGTTAGCGCCGTCCCGCAGCCTCCCTGGAGAAACGAGCCGGCCCCGGACTCGTGCAGGGCTCTGAACCCTGTAATCAGACGCTCTCAGGAAAGAACTGGGGCACCTCTGCTCTGCTTCTTTGTGCGAGGCGCCATGGGGGTGGGGGGAGCGGGGGGGGGGCGCGGCGACCAACCGGACACGGTCCTTGCCCTGTGCTCGGGAAGCGCACAGGCGAGTTGGGCGACGGGACAGGGAGCACACACGAGGCACTGGACAGTAGTGCCCGACTGACTCCAGGAAATAAAGATGGAGACATCAAAAGGATAGGTGGAGAGGCAGGCCCCCAGACTCCAGCTGCACGGAGCTTGCTTGGGATCGGTGGCCCGAGCCCTGGATCGTGAAGGTGGGCTGAGGATAAGTGGGACGGAAGGATGAACAGAGGGAGGTGGGGGGTGAGGACAGCCTTGGGAATCAGGAGTTCATAAGCGGCCCTCATGTTTCGGTGGGGTGATTTCTCGGTCCCTGAGTGCTGGCACACTCCCCTCATTAGCTTCTCACCCCAACCCTGTGAGGTGAACGTGTAGCAGGACTAACTCGATCTTGAATTCATTTCGCCTTGAACACTTCTCCCTCCCTTGTTAGTGCTACACTTTAGATTTTTGAGTGCTCTAAGCCCGTTGGACGGACTAGCTGAAATCGGAACACTGAATTAAGACAACACATTGCACAAAATAAACTAATCGGCATGTTCTTGCATGTTACCCCCTAAGCAAGTGATAAGCTTATAGTAATCAATTCTGTTTAGAGTTTCTTAAGGAATTTGAAGAACCTGGCCAGTGTTTATAGAAGACATCGGATTGATTGCTCAAACCCTGGTGGCACCTTAGCCAGTTTCTTTTCCTGTTTCCCTCCCCCTTTAAAAACCCCTCAACGCACCGGGATGGGAAGATGGTTTTTCAGGACAGTAGTCCACCCTCTTCTTGGTTAACTGGTTTCTCAAATAAAGTTGCTTTTGTTGCTCTAGTTCCTTGTCTCTTACTGGCCTCTCGTGGGGCAAGCAGAGCAGGCCTGTGTTTGATGACAAACAGGACCCATGTTGTTATATTGAACTACAACCTGGAGAGACTGAGGTTTAAGAGAGATGAACTAGGCAGGTACTTGGGGCTCTAGCCACTAGCTCAGCTGGGCACCTTCCAGACATCACCCCGCCTCTCTCCTAATGAGGTCAATGGAAAGGACCCATTGTAGAACTTTGGTGTGGAGCAACCTGATGCAGGGTGGGTAGGAAAATCACTCTAGCCAACTGCGGGGGTGGGGGGTGGGACAGTGGAGGCGACACAGGGTCCCCTTTGTGCCATTGTCACAGTGGTCAGCCTCCTCGGTGTCAGGCTGGTAGCAGTCCTGAGTGTGCTTCGTTCATGTCATAAACTCCTACAGGGAGAGAATGAGGCCGCTCTGACTTTAAAGAGTAGCAATAGACATCCGAACCAAAAAGCCTGGCTCATGGGATAAGAGAGGATGAAGCAAGCTCCCCACACCCCCACCCCCACCCCCACCAGGAGAGTATACTGACATTTATGTCTGTTAAAGATGTACTGAAACAGTAAGGAAGACTGTAATTTTTTTCAAAAGGGGGATTGTCACAAATACATAGATAACTTTAATGAAAAGATTTAAAAGGTCGGGGAGCTCAGAATGAGTGACAATCTGAACAGAAGAACCGGGGACTCTCTCATGGAGGAGCCTCGCAGGCTAAGAACGGGCCGCGAGAAGGCATCAAGGTCTAAAAGGCAGTGAGTGCAGCTGAGGATGGGTGCGAAGTGGGGACCAGCCAGGTGTGGGGTGCCCAGCAGATCCCAGCATAATGCCACCCAGAGTAGGCTCGGAAAGACATTTGCTGAAGACGTGAATGAGTGCATGAATTAAAAAATGAATAAAGAACAGAGGGGAATGGCTCCAGCCACAGTTCTCTCAGACCTGCAACAGGCAGAGTTCAAAATGGGAAAAGCCTCGCATGCTTTGCCAAGTATGGAGGACTTTATCCTGGGGGAGGTGGGGAGATTCATAAAGCAGAAGTGTTGGCTATGCCCAGATCCAGGAGAGACCTCAGGAGGCAAGCTTGGGCTGGACGGGATGTGGGAGACCAAGGGGACCCTGTGGCAATCCAGAAGAGAGTAGAGGAGGGGCTGAAGCCAGAGGGAGTCCAAGGCAGGCAGACGCCCTTCTCCTGCTCTATTATTTATTGCTGTCACTACTCGGAGGGGCCTGATAAGACTGTTCCCTTAGAGAAAACCCCACAGTACCCAGCTGACCCCAGAGCCACTTAGGAAAAGAGGTGATCTCAGAGAGGGTTGAGGTTCCCATGGTTTACTCCTGCCCCACAGAATCCCTCCTCCCGAGGACTGCAGCTTCCTGGGGATTCTGCCAGGACCTCATTGTGATCACTGTACTTTATTGGGAACAAAAGAGAAAAGCATGGGTGGCTTGGAGCCCAGGTCCTCCCTGCCAGCCAAGTGGGTGAAAGCCTGGGGGAGGTGCCTTAGGAGGCAGGGCCTGAGGGCAGACTAACTGGTATCCACAGAACAGCTGGGTGGCCTTTCGGTCTGTGCTCACAGGGGCTCTCTGAGGTCTGCAGGTGGACGGGTGGGGTCACGGGAGTGAAGAGACTGGTTAATCGGCAGGAAAGTGAATGTGGAAAATGCCTGCAGGAGGCAGCCACAGCGGAGGTGGAGGGGTGGGGGCGTAGGGGGGTGAGGAGAGGGAACAGGGTTCTAACATGGAGACCCTCAGAGGCAGAGGGCCGGTGGCCGAAGGAGTATGCTCCTCCTGGCCCCTTCTGGCTCTTCCTCTCCCTGGTTGATAAAGATGGTCAAGGCAACACTAATCTTTTTCTTTCTAAGATTTTATTTATTTATTTGACAGATTGAGAGAGCCATCCCAAGTAGGCAGAGTGGCAGGCAGAGGGAGAGGGAGAAGCAGGCTCCCTGCTGAGCAAGAAGCCCTATGTGGGGCTCTATCCCAGGACCCTGAGTTCATGACCTGAGCCGAAGCCAGACGCTTAACCGACTGAGTCACCCCCGTGCCCTTCATTTTCACAGGTGACTTTCTGTCAAGCCATGGCTCTTATCTTTCACAGTCCATGCATTGTCAGGTTTTGTGAATGAACAGTCAACCCTCTCTGGGTCTCCTTCCTGTCTCCCATTCATTTCTCTGATCATTATAATCTTCTCCGATTTTAATAGTGGTGGTAACCATCTCTCAATTTGGCCTATCATGTTAGGGTGTCCAAAGGACTCTCATATGGTGGACAAAAGCCCTTGGCACAATGCCCAGGACAAAGGAGGCACTCAAAGGGGCTCTTACCCTTCCTCCTCTGGATCTCATTCTTCACAGCAAGGCCGAAAGTGCGTATTCTTACTCCATCTTTTCTGCTGTGGACGTAGACACTGGCGCCCTCAACCAGCAGATAGCAGACTGAGTCCTAGAACACAAACCCCAGATCCTGCTCCCATCAAACCTTCTAGAACCCTCTCTGAGAGGTCTCCAGTAAGTCCAATCACATTTTCTCAGACCTCTCAGAGAATTCTGGCAGGCTGACATCCTTTCCTCTTGCCATACCACCCTCTCTTGGTTCTTTGGCAATACACAATCCCAATCCTACCGTTGGACCACAGCCTTTCTTGTCTCCATTTGCTTGTCTTCCTTCTCCTCCCCTCTAAATGTTCTTGGCCCTTGGCTCACCCAATATTTTCTCCTTCAGGGCCCACGTTTAGGACGTGACCACATCAGGGATGACTCTGGATCTCAAATCTATATCCACTTACTTCTTACACAGGCAACTCTGAATGTCCTGCTAGCATGGCAGACTCGACATAACCTCCCCGAGTCAAGAATTAGGTCTCAGCGGATGTGTCCTTTGGATCTAGGCAGGTCTCACCTTCACTGTTTTTGATGCAAAAGTGAATTTGGCATCTTCCTTTCCAAATGGCAGCCCTGCCTTTTAACTTGCTCATTTCTATTAATGATACCACTTTGCTTCTTGTCACTCGGGCTCAGAATTTCAGAATGTCTTTTACTTCTCTTTCTCTTGCCTCCCACCTTTGCAAAGAAAAGTCGTTGTGTTCAACAGATTCTACTCCGACAGTGTTTCCCATCTGTCCCTTTTATTCCGTTGCCACGGCCGCTGTCCGGGTGGAGGGTGTCCGACACTCGATCACCGCACACGCCACCACAATGTCATTTTGCTGAGTGAGACTCCTGTCCAAAGGTTCTCATTGCCTAGTGAATTAAGCAGGGGTGGGGTGAGGAAGGAACGCATGTAAATATTAATAATCTTCCAGGAAGGTACTGGCCTTTTCTGCAGCTCCAACCCAAATGGCTAAAAAAGTATAGGAGAGGACGCTAGGGGGTTATCACCTTATTTTTTGCAAAATCCTTGTGGGAATGTCCCGCGTAGTTCTGATCATGAAACCAACTAATGACTAAGGAGAGGATGTTGTTCATGCAGAAGGACGCTCCTCATTAGTCTGCAGATTGAAAGAAGAAATAAGGAAGGTTAAACTGCGGGGAGTCAGGCTTGTTCACTAAGTCCTAGAATACCAAAATAAGAGTGCCTCCTTGAGACCGGAGAAGCAATGAACACGATACATATAAAAAGAAGGCTTACTTTATGTAGCGGGAAAGCAGGGTAAGAATGAACAGGTGATGCCCGCTCCGGAATACTTACTTGGGGAACCCAGGCTGGGTGGGGTGTGTCTAATCTCTGATTCTCACAGCAGAGAAGATCATCATGCGCACTTTTACAACGTGTCCCTCTGTGTCCCTATCAAGGAAGGACAGTAGCCTGATGGACCACAAGCCACACCCTGGAGAATACGGGCATTAGAAGGCCTGGATTCGGGGCACGGAGCTGGCTCAGTCGGTGGAGCATGAGACTCTTGATCTCGAGATCATGAGTTCAAGCCCCACGTTGGGCATAGAGATGACTTCATTAAAAAAATTAAAAAAAAAAAAAAAAGGAGGCCTGAATTCTAGTCCAAGCTCTGGCACCTACTGGCTGTGTGACCTTCCTTGACCAAGTCACTAATTCTCTGAGCCTCAGTCTCCTCATCTGTCAAACGGAGGTAGTACTTACCTCACAGGATTATAAAAATAAAAATCAGGTAAACACAATAAAAACTAAAAACACTTGACAGTTTATGAAGTAATATACCTGATATAAGGGATTTATTCTTTAAAAAAATAAGATTGTATTTATTTATTTGAGAGAGAGAGAACACACAGAGGGAGAGGGAGAAGCAGACTCCCCACTGAGCAGGGAGCCCCAGGCAGGACTGGATCCCAGGACCCTGGGATCATGACCTGAGCCGAAGGCAGATGCTTAACTGACTGAGCCACCAGGAGCCCCAGGGATTTATTCTTATTGCTGTTGTTATTCTATCAGAAGTCGCAGGTTTTTAGTACCACTGTCAATATCTGTTTCTCTGGCTATCAGCGCTGATAATTAATGTTTCTTGAGCATTTACTATGCGCTAAGCCCTGTGTTAAATCCCTTAAATCCATTATCTATTTTAATCCTCTAACAATCCTGCAAACACCCCAAAGACACGAAGGCTCAGAGAGCTTAAGTAACTTGCCCAAGGTCCCACAGCTTCTAAACAGAGATGGAATTTGTCTGATTCTGTGGCTCTTGCTCTTTGCACCAAATTGATGAGAGCAGTGTCCAAATGGTAAATAGTAAAACCTAAAACCATTGATTCATTCATGCAACAGCTATTTATTGAGGGCCCTCTCCTGCCAGGCTCAGAGTGAGCAAGCAAGCTGTGTCCGAGGGCTGAATAGTCCTCTACCAGGAGGAAAAGCAGCACTTGAGACCTTAGGTTCTGCTTTCAAGTTCGTAAGTTCAAGTGCATTTGCTCATTTCATCACGTCATAGTCTTTAGAGCTGGAAGGACCTCATTACACCAACAAAATGGCTAAGGCCCAGAAACGACGAGGGTCTTGACCAAGGCCATGTAGCAGATTAGTGGCTGAACAAGGACTAGAAATTCAGGTTTTCTGACTCAACAGTCAGTGCCTTTCATGTATGATCTATTTATCGGCAACAACCAAGACAGGTGTCCTCAGGGTTCAGCCTGTGCGGGACCAACTTTGAGAGGCTCAGGAGCAGCAGAGGAGGGGGGGAGTCCCCCAGGAGCAGAGCTGAGACACAGGGAGAGTGCAGCCATGGGTGCTCAGGCAGAACCCCGGTGGGGTACACAGCTCAAGGTGTAGGCCGGGAGGGGACAGGGTCACGGGAATGCCGTAACTTGGACTGGAGGGGAGTCTGGCAGTGATCCATTCTCAATTTGAGACAGAGAAACCGAGGCCCGGAGATTGGCTTGTCCAAAATCACCCTGCAATGAGGAAATCTGAGAGGTCCCTGGTTCTAATACGAGTTGTCTCGGCACCTGGCTCCACCCTCAATGAAATCTACTAAAAATCTGACGGCTCCTGCCACACAAGGGCTGGTCAGTCTTTGGATGACCTGTCCCTGTGCTGACAGAGCAGTGTGCCTCACGCGGGGTCACGACCCCAGGGAAATGACACCCTGCCCTGGCATCACCTTTTAATGTCCTCGGCATCTCTATCTGGAGGCCAAGCAAGGCCGGGGGCAACCAGATGATAGGGGTGCTATAGTTAGAACCCCAAATGGGGGCAGAATAGAGCCAGGTTCATTGCCCTCACTTGGCACCTCTTGGCCCTCTCCTTTCTTATCAAGAACATGGTTTTGAGTAGATAATCCCTAAATTCTACTTTCTCCAAGAGCAATCGGTTGCTTCAAGTTCAAGGCCCCAGAGTCCCTCGTTTCAAGGTAGCTGGGTTGAGGAGGAAGCTGGGCAGTACGAGCAGGGGCCAGCCACCTGCCAGGTTTCTGAGTCATTTGGGAGCCCTGTCTAGACTGGCTCTGATAGGCTAGCAAACACTCTGGGCCTACCCGAGCAAACCCAGGAGAGGCTGACCCTGAAGCAAAAGCCAGTCTCTGTTCACCTCCTGCCCTAGGCTGTGACTGCACGTGGCTCAGGGAGAGGCTTCCTCACCCTGGTCAGCTACTGCCCTAAGCCTCTAATTCAAGCCTACACACTCCCCTGCCCTCCACGAGATCCCACGTCTGTCAGCGGAGCCCCACCTCTGACGTTCTCTGCCGCCTATTTCCTCTCCCTCCAGAAGGTTCCGTCCGAGTTCAGCCCTCCGAGTCTCTCTGCCAGGGTTCCACAGACGGCACGTCGGGCCCCCCGTGATCTGGCACCCGCATCACTCTCCTGGGCTCCTTGCTCTCCTCCGATCGTCCTGCCCTGCAGCCTCGACCTCTCTCAGTCCTCCTGGCTTTCGCTCTTCGCCTGGCCCGAGTGCCCTTCCTCCCCCACCTTGTCTGCCTGCAGCTCCCGCTGGACCTCAGGATTCGGTTTCTGAGTTGCTTTCACTCTGGCCAAGTGAGAAGTTCCCTTCCTGTAGATCCTCTGTACGTGTGTACATCCTAGACCTGTAGGCTCCCAGGGGCAGACGCTGGCTCAGAGCTGAGCCCCGGACGGGGCGCACATACCGGGCAGGCTCATGGCACATTCGTGCAAGCTCCAAGGGGGAGCTTTGGGGGAAGAAGTCCAAGCCGCAGAGCGGGGCTGTCGTGCCTCACGGAGCTAAGCAGCCGGGTCCTCTGCGCAAGTCAGCGTGGCACCCTGCCTTTGGGCCAGAAGACCACCACTCCCTTTCCAGCTTCGCGTCTCAAGGGCTCATTTCTATCATATTTTAACAAAAGTGTCGATCTGTGATGGATGGAAATCTTTTTTCTTTTGAAGCTGATCTTTCACCACCAATAGTTTGAGAAACACAGGGTAGAGGCTGCTTGTCCCTGCCTCCCACACACGGCAAGGTCTTGACCTCAGGATGAAAGAAAGAAGACTAACATGGAGCTGTTTGTCTGGACTAACTGGTGGACTGAGCCCAAAGGTCTCTCTTTTTAGCTCTGAGCAGACACACCTCAAGGTCACCGAAACCTAGCTCCTGGGGGCTCCTGGTCTCCCTGAGCCCATCCCATGGGAATGGATCCCTAAAGCAATGGGTGGAGGCTCCATGTGCCCTTCACTGGGGGCTTGTCCACTCAGACATTTGACAGAGCAGTTGGGAGTCTTTTTTAAAAAATTTATATATATATATATATATGTATTTAAAGATTTTATTTATTTGGGGCGCCTGGGTGGCTCAGTTGGTTAAGCGACTGCCTTCAGCTCAGGTCATGATCCTGGAGTCCCGGGATCGAGTCCCGCATTGGGCTATCTGCTTCTCCCTCTTACTCTCTTCCCTCTCGTGCTCTCTGTCTCTCATTCTCTCTTTCTCAAATAAATAAATAAAATCTAAAAAGATTTTATTTATTTATTTGACAGAGAGAGACACAGCGAGAGAGGGAACACAAGCAGGGGGAGCGGGAGAGGGAGAAGCAGGCCTCCCGCTGAGCAGGGAGCCCGATGCGGGGCTCAATCCCAGGACCCTGGGATCATGACCTGAGCCGAAGGCAGATGCCCAACGACTGAGCCACCCAGATGCCCTCTTATCTCATTGAATTACCCCTCCTTCCCCATCCTGCTGACGGGGAATCCAAGAGCTGGAAGGAGGAGAATTTGTTTATTTTCCAGTCTCCAGTGCCTAGGGGGTTGCCTGTCCCAGAGTATCCGGCAGGATTGGATCAGAGAGCTCCTGTGCTGGCCGGCCTGCCCTGCACCTCCTTCAGGGGGTAACAAACCTGCGCCTCCCAGATCTCATACACATTTCTCCCGTGGCCGATGCCAACGTGGCCAGGACCTTAGAGAGGCGGGAATCCTGAGGAATGTAGTTCAGCTCCGCTAAGGCGACACACGATAAAGCCACCACCACGCCTCTAAATGCTGAATGAAAGAATGAAAGACTTGTCCACAGGCACATGGCGTCATTAGAAAAAATCATTAGGAAAAGAAGCACTAAAACAATCATACACCATCCAAGGCCGGCCTTCTTTATGATCAGAGTTAGTAGGTATAAAACTTCTCCACGGGATTCCTGTGAACATTTCCAAAAGCTTGCTCTCAGTTTCTGTACTGACTTCAGCACTGCCGGGTAAGGATTTGCCGACAGGTGCTGACATGGGGATGGCAATTTGAGGAGGCCTGTGGCACCCGAGGGATCAAGGGCGAGAACGAAGTAAAGAGGCCTTGGAACCATTCGCTCTGTGACCTTGCTTCTAGCCCAACCCTCTCCGGCTCCTGGTTTCTCATCTCCAAAACAGGGTGCTGTCAGGGCCATATGGTGACACTTGTGAGTAAGGGCATGTTGTAAACTCTCCACTGTGTGGGGAAGAGCAGTGGAGCCTAAGCTGGATTCAGCCGCGTCTGCCGATCTGCAGTTGGGGAAAGGGTTTGTGACGATGGTGAGGTCCGCAGGGAACCCCATGGGCTTAGCTGTCAAGGCTTCTGCTACTCTGAGAGTCTGGGAAGGTGACCTTGGCAAGCACAGGGTTTC